GATTGTTAGAGTTTAGCTCCCAAGCTAGTTCAAAATTATCAAGCACCTTTGTATTTGAATTGGCTGAAGTTTCAAGGCAATCCCTTCTCCAAATTAGGTATTGATCATTTTGGTCCTCTAGAGATAGTTGGGGGGAGGTCCTGGGGTTTAATTTTTATTTGCTGAACAAGCAGAGCAATTCATCTTCAGTTATGCCAGAAAGAAAATTCTGAATGTTTCATTAAGGCTCTGGAAAGATTTGTTAGTAGAAGAGGAATCCCAGTAAACATATACTGTATTGTGATGGAGGAACCACATCTAAAGGCAGGAAGAGTTTGATTGTCAAAATGCTTGAGAAGACAAACTTGAAAGATACCTGTCTTGAAAAAAAGTGGAAAAAATTTTTCGTGTGAATCCACCAGGATCACCTCATCAGGGGGAGGGGGGATTTTGGGAATGGATGATCAGAGAGGTTAAGAAAGGTCTGAGTATTGCTGGAGAGAATCATAGAGGAAGGTTGAAGTATGAAGATCTGATGACGGCCTTGACTAAAATTGAAGGACTTTTGAATAGATGGCCAATGGCTTTTGATGATGATGGCAAAGCCATTACACCTTTCCAAATTATTGCTCCACCATCTGGTGAAGTCTCATTTATTCCTTGGGAATCTGGAATCTTTAAAATCTCTGAAATCTCTAGCTTGTGTTGAAGAAATGTGTTGGAAAGCTTTTGGAAAGCTTGGAGACATTTTTACTTGCATTCTTTAAGATCTTGCAAGAAACTCCATGGTGCAATAGCAAATTTTCAGATTGGAGACAAAGTTGTCATTGAGGACAAATGCAAGGGCCTTGTGTGTTGGCATTGGATCAATGGGAAGATTCCTGGATTACATCAAGGAGTAGGTGGAAGAGTCAGGAGTCTCACAGTCAAAACTGACACTGGAGATTGGTTCCTGGGTTTGAATAAAATCTATATTGTCAAACTGCGCAATTCATAGTTTAAAAGAGTTCAGCATAGCTTCTCTCTTTTTGGGGGGAGGGGAGTGTTGTTGCATTGCATGTTTCTTTTCTTCTGCTTAAATTGTTTAAAGAAGAATTCTGTTGAGAAAAATCTTGGTCATTAGACTAGAAAATTAATGCCAGAAAAATTCAATTATGATGTCTAAACATGCTAGGGTGTTGCATGCATCAAAAGGGTGGGAAATCATGCATTTTGATTTTTCGGAAGCATTAGTTTAGTTTTAATCAAAATAGCCCCAAAAATCAAGCCAGAAATTGGAGCTCTCATAGCTCCTGAAGTTAGGCTCTTGGTGATGTCACAGCTGTGCTGATGACATTAGAGACTCCGCCCCTTTCTCTGGTGGAAGCTGAGCATCTAGTACTGGATGCAGAGCATTGTTGCCAAACTACAGGATGAGGGAGGCATTTTCCCCTTGAAATCAATGAAATAAAAAAGGTTTTGGCAACTTTGAAATGCATGAAATCTTTGAGAATTTTCTGGAATCTTCCATCATATTCTGGGAAATTATTTCCTTGAAAATAAGAGGATTCCATCTTGATGGAATCCTCAGTTGATCAGAAGGTCTTGTTGTGAGAGGTTGATTTTTTCAGAGCTCTCGTCTGAGTTTTTGAGATAACTTGGTGGTTATAGGAGAACTTTTTGCTACTTTTGTGCAAGTGAAAGCTCAAGTTTAAACCAGTGGGTTTCAGAAGCAAATAGTTTTAAGAGGTTTGTAAGCAAGCTAAAAGTAAGATAGTTCATTTCACTTCAGTGAAGAACATAATTATTTTCTTGTTACATTTCTCAAGTTGTGACCAATTTTTTCTTAGTTATAGTTCTGATCACTTTCAAGGCTTTCTAGTGGCTGGGTTATTTTGGGTTTCATTTTTCTGAAGTTTCTGTGAAGATTTTCTGTGTTCTATTTCTTGTCATTTTTTCTATTTTGCTTTGTTGGTGCATTTTCTTTCAGGCTTGCAAAAGCCAGTAAATTTGCTGCAAATTGATTTATTTCTGGTGTGTGATTTACTTCACCTATTCGGATAAGTATTTAGGCAAATTTTGATCTGGGAAAATAAAAGTTTGAACCATTTACAACTTCTTAAAACAGTCAAGCCTGTACAAATTTTCTGAAGCTTAAAAAACAATTTAAAGCTCACAAATTCTTGTGAGTTCTCCAAGTTTAAATTTGTGAAAGTAACAGGACCCGACTTTGTGCTAGCACTGATGGTCAGGAAATTAGAGAAGCTGAAAATCCGACCCGCAAATAGCGGGGAAAATGGTGAAAGCAACTCAGCAAAGGTGGCAGTACTGGATGAAACTAAGTAATTATTTATTCTGCTAATCAGCTTGAAGGCCCAATACTGATTCTTCTGATGAAATGATCAAAATGTGAACAGATGTCGTAAGGCAGGACGAAGTTTGCACACGTTCTTGTTAATTGAAACGCTTCTGATCATTAAATTAATTCAAACAATCATATCTTTGAAAACCTAATCAAAGTAAGCAGTCACAAGTGATGAAAATCCGGTTTCACGCTCAGATAAATTTCACGTTATCGCTTCAGAAAGCATGGCAAGGCTCATGGCTCGGAGCGTCAAGCTGAAGCTTTCACACGGCTCGAAATCCTGCCAAAATTTTAGCTTCTGCACTCAAGGAAATAGAAATCAAATTTCCCGGCAAGCATAATGCCTTGCGCACTCTTATCGAATTTCAAAGAATATAATGAGAATGACAAACCAGAAGCCCTGTTTTTCCCTATGACGCAGTCGATGGTGAAGAGGCGCTCATGAGGAAGACCATCTTCTTTGGCCAATTTGTAAATCGGAGGCGGAAGTCGGTTAGCCATGCAAAACTCTTGCAGCCAACCCACAGGGTTGCCTGGGATGCCATCTTCATACGGTAACTGCAGCTTCGGGTTTCTGCAAAGAATTACAGCATTTATTCAAGTTCCAAGACCGTAAAGTCTTAGGATTGGTTGCGCTAAGGGCTGTAAATCAACGAGAAGAATATTTAATTCTTCAACACGCGAGTTCTTTGACCTCATGACAACCGGCATCGAAACAGACACTAAACCAGTACAGACCAACTCAGATATGACCAAGGGCCACATTAATACATTTATGGCCAAGGACCACATGGCTTTGATGGAGAGTCCTTGCGGGCCACAATGGACAATAATTCTCAAGATTTTGAAACTTCTCCATTTAGAAGTTCAATTTTCGAATTTATTTCAGTAATGCATTGAATCACTAGCATAGCCATTTACAGGACTATTTTTGAAGCGCGAGGCAACATAGTGAATTTTAAAATTTATCTTTCGATACACATTTTGAATAATGGCAGCTGCCACTTTGAAAATTTTAGGGGACGGGATTGCGGAATGGATGAAGAGTCTTCGAGAGCCGGATATGGCCCACGGGCCGAATGTTGGGCAGCAGTTCATTGAAAGTTCAAGAATGCAGCAACTCACACTTCTCCTGATTCTTCAACCTCTCCATTTTTCATTAGCTGCGAGCTTCCTATTAGCTTGTCAAGCACAGCTTTTGCAGCAGCATGTTTCGCTTTCTTTTTGCTCTGCCCAGTTCCATGCTCTATGGAACAAAACAAAAACAAGAAATCAAACTCGAATATTTATAAAAAAGAATCAAGCGATGACTCACCAACATGGTCACTGACAGTAACCCTATACTTGAAAGTAGGCTCATGCACAGATCCCTCAATCTGAACCAGATCATACTTCGGAGTAATTTGTCTCTTGACACAAAGTTCCTGTAGGATTGACACAGGAGTTTTCGTCGGCATGCCAGGGATCAGATCCTGCAAAAGACCTCAAGGGTCAGCATAAAACCCTCACATGAACCAGATCGTTTCAACCACCTCTTCTCTAGCTCCCTCCGCATTCTGACTTTTCGTGAAGCCCAGCGCAGGCCTGTTTCCTACAGGTGGTATCAGATCCATCAGCCCGCCTACAAATTGCGCATTCGTATGCTCTTTCGGTCTGGTTCCGAACATTCCACTGGCCATAATCCAGTATTCCGGCCGTCTCGAACACCTCACCTGCACATTCCGAACTCGTTCAAGACAACCAAGAAAATACAGTGGTTTTTTGCTTCACGAACGCCTCGCGTAATGAAATTTAGTGCCTTCATTCAACGAACATTTGAAAAGAATTGTAAAAAAAAAAACTCGAAAAACTTTCGCTTCTGCTCTTCTCGTGTTTGCTGCAATGTGGAGTATTGTAGATACAGTGCAATAATTTACCTTCCTCAGACAACAGAATCAAAAAACTCGGGAAAACGGCCTGATTATGGTACCTACATAACAGAAAAAAAGACGAAGGCTTCCATTATTAATTTTAGAAGGGGTCAGTAATGTTTTGAGAGAATACTACTACTATCAACAATGAGAGGCTATATTTTCTTTTTCTGAAATCGGGCACCCTGTTTTCTCCACAACGATTTCAAAGTTTTTTTTTGTGTGGAAAAAGCCAATGATTCAAACGTGAAAGCCTACGGGAAGATGTGTTTCGCGGAACGAACGCTTCCCCTGATGAACTCGGCGAAGAAAGGAATTACGTTCCTTAAGCGAGGCACCACTACAAATATATAACACTACAAACTATTGCATCTGTTGAAACAGAGGTAATTATCATTTCTTACATGGCTAAGAACTGATATAACCCAGTAATCTGCCTTGACGAGGGCTTTTCATGGTGAGGCTTCCTTCCACACAATATTATGAAAGATTCCTTTCGTAATGCTACAGAGTAATGTGTTACGGTTTCCACGCATCTCTCTCCTCTCTTTCCTGGTAAACTTGTTTAGAAGATTTTCTAGCTATTTTCAATTATGCAATCGGAATAGATTCTCACCAACCTCGATTTATCGTTCCACTCAAGAGCCACGTTGGGCCGACATCCCGTAACGATTGACTCGCGCACCAGTACGGGATTCTCACTTTCCTGCCACAAAAAGAAGCAAGTACGGTAATTTCTTTTCAGCGACTTGCAGAACATAAAATGTTGCACCATCTGTTCCAAATTTGTTGGACACTACCAAAATTTTAATTTTTTGCACGTTCAGCACCCGCAAATATACGCACTAAAAAACACGAGAACAAGGCAATTTCGCTTCGGTCTCGAGTCAGGATGATGCCACGGAGTGTCCTGCAACATATGATAAAGTCAGATCAATTTTTCTTCAAAATTAAAGGCACAAGAATGATGCGTCATTCTCCAAGTTCGCTGCCCGTCGAAGTCATCGGATATTTCAGAAGCATCGCCACTTTCGAACGAAGGCAATGTTGAAAACTTTCAGAACTTTTGCGCAATGCTATTTACAGCTCTTTTCTTTGGATTATGTCACTGCTACCATGGTCATTACCCCTGAAGTTTTCAGCAATTCATCAACTGCAGTCGCTCTCGTAAAGCTTCGGACGTGGACTTGAAAAAAAACACGAGTTTTAAGATTTTGGTGAAGGTTGTTCGACGACGAGCTAGGACATTTCGGAGACCCTTTGTGATTTTAATAAGCACGAAAGCCTTTGACGGCTTAAACAAAAATACAACCATCTCTATAAACATTTCGAGACACACCTCCCATATTTGATATTTCGGCCATTCTCTTTACCGGAGGTAGAAGAATTCATTACATAGCAGTCAGAAGCTTTAAACAAAAAGGTCACTCAAAAGTACGATGCACAAACGATGCTCCGCAAAAATGTTGTCAATAGCGGAAATATTTCTGAAATTTCCGGCTTAGATCAACCAAGTACTTGGGCATCTCGAGAATTGTCCCGACGGACTTTCTTCAAGGAAAAATCCTAAAGTTTTTCCCAGAGAAGCTACAGAACCCATCCTTTCGAGAGACGATCACTTCGAAACCAATGAATAAATCTTGAAACTCAACCATTTTTCGGGAGACGGATCCTCTGATTGTCTTCCACGAACACCTTATGTGGCTTGTTCCGAAACGTGTATTCTATTTCCAATGCCTTCCTTCCGCCAACGCAGGGGTCATAGAACCCAGGTAGCTGGGCCTGAATAAAATAGACGTGAGTCAGAATTTCGGTACCATGAACATACAGGGTGAAACAGAATACTGTACAGTGTTTTCGATCGATGTTGGAACGACAATATTCCACGAAAGCTGAATTTAGTCTCAAATCACAGTTCAAATAAATTTTAAGATAATTTATGTTCCATGCTTTCATCTGTCAACTGAGGTACTACGGTATTTCAACGATGAAGTACCTCTGGAAAAATTGTCGAAGTACCAAAAATTTCCATTAACTGCAATAATGCACAAAATAACTTTGAATGCTAAAAAATTCCCCTTTGTTTTTTTTAATGCTACCTCTACCGCCTTTTGAATGTTGCCTGCTTTTACCTACACTCATAAAATTCGTATGAGACGCTAAAAATTGCAACATCGAATAATTACAAAATTGGATGTTCTCATACCGCACTTCCTATAAACGTGCGTCCAGAACAGTTTTTGTTGGACACGGTTGAAGCTGATCACTACATTCAAGCTTGAATTTTTTTTCCACTTTCAGAACAAGGAATTACGCCAGGAGTATGAATAAATGGAATGTGCCAACGTCAAATTAAATAAGTGAGTTCCTTGGTACAATTTCACTCAGGCTGTTTTTTCTGTGCGTTCTTCAAGTATGCAGTAACACGCAGGTCGGGTCTTCAACATATGCTCAACTTCTTCTGCTAATCGTCCATCACAATGACGCTCTAAATGACTGACTTGCAACCATGCTTATGAACCTCGAACTTTCGTACAGGACGCATGTACAGTATTCGAACTGACATTGGAAAGTAGTCAGATCTTACTCTTTTCAACACTTTTTTCTTCAAACGTCCTGAAGGTTTAAATCCTTCCTCAAAAATAAATTCTCATTTCGCAAACAAGGGCAAACCTTAATTCATGCTTGGGGAACACAGGGGTGTGAAGGATTCAGCATAAACATTTGCCAAACCTTGCTCGAAGTGATGGACACCAGCTGGGAGTCTTTCACAAGGCACTGAAGTGGGATTGTCACGTCCACAGTTTCTCCTTCCATGGTAGAAAGCTTCCTGCAAAGAGAATAATTCACGGTTGATGAAAAATTATTTCAGACAGAGCACGTATTACTCACCCACTCTCTTCGTCAATGCGACCATAGATTGCTTTAGTTATCACCAAACCATGCTTCGAAATTTCAGTTTCTCTGTTTCGAGCGTAGGTCTCACGCAACAATACTATTGTTGCTTCTGCTTCTTCGCGCTGTTCTCGCAACCTGAAACGAGGAAACCGAGGTCATGCAAGCAAAAAATATACTACTGTATATCCCAGAAGTATGGAGATACTGTTCTCCGTATCTCCATCTCAAGAATTTATTTGAATAGTAAACTGCCGAAAATGAAAGGGCAAAGATCTTCCCTCCCGCAATTACCCCTAATAGTAGATTTCGGTGAAGAAAAGCTTCCGAACTAACTTTTAAACCTGTATTTAGTTTTTTTTCATCAAAAATTTGATAACGGATTTAGTTCTCATGCATTATCGACTGAAAACTAATTTATACTAACTGAAGATTTCAGAACATTGTAGTACTGTACACACTTTTGCGGAAAAACGGTCGAATAATCAACTTCATTTCGTCGTCGCGACTTTTAACGGAACACACGTTTCTACAGCTTTTGGGTCAGGAGTAATTGGTTCTTGTCATAAAAATCAGACGACTCGATACGGCAAAAAACACAACGAAAGCCGAATCGGAAGAAGGAAAAAAATATAGAGACAAATTTTCCGAAAACATGAGCATATTAAATAAATTGTTTCAATTTCTCGACGATGAAAATAAGCAGAAATGAAGTGACGACTGGAATTTTAGAGCCCCAGCGTTCATATTGATCACATCAGGTGCCCCCATCACATACACTGCACAGGATATAGAAGAAAATCCTGTAGGCTTGAAAATCTCGCGGGGCCTGAAAATCTTGGGAGGGTACAAAAATACCACGGGCTACGAAAATGCCACGAAGTACCATACAGTAAACCTCAATCAATCTGGGCTTCAGCATTCTTGAAAGCCTAGAACTTTAAAAATATTTCCTTTATACTGATCTCAAGGATTCCAATGAAGAAAACCTGGCGAATGAAATTTTGACTTCAAAACTACATTTACACTTGTTTAATACAGTACTTCAAAATACGTCTATACACCGTGGCCTACTTCAGTTACCAAAAGAGGCTTTTTCATATGCATATACAGTATTCAGATCGGGAATTTCTAACCCGTAATACTCTCAAGCCCCACGAGATTTTCTCATGGAGCCATTGCACGACAAAACAAAACACGAAAATATAAGATAACCACACCTGGCAGCATGCGCTTCTCGCCACAGCTTCAAATCCCGCTCTTCAGCAGCTTTTTTGTACTTGTCCAAGAAGAGCTGCTTGAACGCAAGGTATCCCACTGTGGGCAGGACAACCCCGTATGCAATCGGGATCGGCATCACTTCATCACAGAGCATGAAGTTGCAGATATAGGTCTGAGTGGAGCGAATGAACCTTAGTCTGACTGATACCCCCAGTGGTACTCCCACGGTTAATGACATTCCTATTGCCGTGTACTTGCTAATCTTCTTCTCAAAACTGCCTTCGATGATGCAACCAAACGTTCCTCCCCTTCAAACGAAAAATAATTACAGCTCTAACGAAGTTCACTCGAAATAGCCCATTGTCCTTCGAACACGAGACTGACTTGATCCCAGCTTTGATTTTTGCATCCCTCTGTGGCATCTTCCAAGTGGACGACAATGCAGTGTAAACTGATGCAATGCCGAGGTGAAGACTGATCTGGGAACTGTTCAACACCGTGTTTCGCATCAATGTTAAGGTCATGCCACTTTGTCTCCCGCCTTTCCAGGCCCATACTCCTTGGTAGGCATCATCGAACTGGTAGGAAGTACCTACGAAACACCTGAAAATCAATCCTTAGAAATCAACAAGAAACATTCCGAACAAACTTGCAACAAAGCCAGGACTGAGTCCGCGTGAAGTGAAGAGACAGTCTCCGGTTAGTGTCGCATAACTGGAAAGAGAAGTTGAGTTCAGAAAATAATTCAAGCATTTCACTCAACGTTAAAGACATCACCTGCGACTGGAAAATGACCGGAACCCTTTGGCGGAAGCAATCAGCCCATCTCCGATCCCAAACCCGAATTCGTATCCTCCAGGAGAACGCATCCTCCGTAAACTTGCATTTATTGCACCTGTGAGAATTCGCATCCGAGGTTAAAATTATCTAGAGGGCAAGCGTTTTGAATTATGAACAACGAAAAATAAGAAAAGCTTAGCAGGATCTACGGCAGAACGAGAAAGAACCAGTCTGGCAGACCCTGAAGTTGGCTCATAAAACATTACCAATAAAGGAGACACGTTGTACAGCTCTGAAAAATGAAGGTTGAACTATCTACCGTTCCAATCGCGAAATTACGAATACAGTAGTGGAACCCCGACATACGGACGATTGGACTTACGGACACTTGAAACTTTGAAAAATCTGTTGGGACATCCGGACAGTCTCAAGATACAGACACTTTTCCAACATTTCCAGAAAAATCGAATATTTTTCTCTCTAAATTTTGATGTACATATCTTGCATAAACTGAGCTAATTATATTCACAAAAATTAAAAATACACATCAATATTAAATTACTCGACTTCATTATCAAGATTAGTCCTCCAAATTTCTTTTCCTTGTTTTTTTCTTCATGATGTGTGCACAATATAGCTAGCCTTCTTCTTTGCATTGTGAGCTCCTTCTGCTACCAAAAGATCAGATTCTGCGGGGTTTTCTTCGGCGCAGTGATTTAACGTATCCTCAAATTCAGAAAAATATTTTTATAAATTTTTTGTATTTTAATTTTTAATTAGAGGAGAACCAATTGAACGATGATCTCATTGAAGTCCAAGGGAAAACGTGATCCGGACATAGGAACAAGGTCCAAGTACCTATTACGTCCGCCTCTCGGGGCCCCACTGGATCTGGAGCCCGAAAACTTACTTTCCAGTGAGAAATTTGGGGTCACTTTTAAACTTCTCCAAATTAATACACATGTAAATGGACATTGCTTTTAGTAGACGTCTCTGATCGGTGAACCCGGTACAGTAGATGTCACTGACGGTCACAAAAGCGTCCAAATTTCGCATTTATTCATGCTAAGTTTCTCCTGCTTCTGTGTGCACATGAGCATTAAAAAAGCAATATGAATACAAGGGTTAATTTGGCCCCGGATAAAAAAAAATAATGAGGATAAATTTCATTTTCTTGCTCCAATAAGAAACGCTTTTAAAAATTTTCTCTTCATTTCGCCATGTCCAGCCAAGATTTTGAACGAGAAATACGGAGACTTTTATGCGACACAGTAAATTCTTTTGGGATACCCTTCCCTTGCCCCACACTCACCAGAACCAATACCGTTGTTCGTCTGTAAATTTCCCGTCAAGCAAACCGTGTCCTCCGGAGACATCGGGACTTCAATAGACTGACTAAAAGACATGCCACTCACTTCGACCTTAGGGAAAAAGCTGAAGAAGCCGAAAAAACTTTCACGTAGGTCTGAGTATCATTTCGTATCACACTGACGACTCACGATTCGTATTCGTCATCTTCAAACTCATAATCAAGGTAGGCAGAGGAGAATGTGTCCGAAGCATTGAAGTTGAGTACAACCGTGCTTCTCGGGTTAGTTGCTTGTAACAACTGCCTCTCTTCTTCCAGCCTAGTAACAGTGGTAAGAATACAGTACAGACATTTTGGGCTTCGAAGGACTGAAAGTCGCAGATGTCAACCACGTTCAACTAACCACGCCAGGCGTTGGTATTCAGCCCTAATTTGCTCCGGGGATTTTGCTTTCTCCACCACTTCCCAGCCATCGACATTCAAGCCCTTCACACCCAAAGTGTCATATATTGCTCTCTTCCTGGGGTCGCGGAGTACTTCGTAGATGGTCTTCGTCTTGTGGAAGAGTTGCTCAGCATTCTCCTTCTTCCGAGGATCCGTATGTTTATCAGGATGAAACACCCGACTCAAGCGCTTGTACGCGTTTGTAATTTCATCTTCCGTTGCCTACAACAAAAATCAAGGCGAACATGCAATAATTGAGCAGTACCTTCCTAAATTCAACATGAGTAAATCGTAAAAGTTCAGCTTCTTTCCACTCCATGAAATACTTACGTCTTTGCTCAAGTTGAAAAATGAATAATAGTCTTCTTCAACGTCACTCGGATAACTTCCGGAAGGATCCATCACAGCAGCTAGTAAGCACTAAATTTTCTGCAGCAAAACCAAATCTCTCCTTGAGCCAAAAACTTCATTGGTCTCCAATCAATCGAAGGACACTCACGATGCGGGACGAATTGCACTCCAAAGTCATAAAAAAGGCAAGAGAAACTTTTGGTTTCCACACAAACCAATAAAATAATACCTGCGAGAGATATCCAAGAAATTGCGCCAAATAATTCGAAAACGAAAATTATAAATCAAAACACAGATGCTATTACATCATTTCTTTAAAATACCAGAAAAAAACAGGGCATCAAAATCACAACAGCAAGGCAACCTCGCCACAAGCATCTAAAACATGTACAATCCCCCACGTCCAAAACACAAATGGAATATAATGCGATCTTTGAACAGGTTATTCTGAAAATAGTTTGAATTAACAATTCCAAGTTAAGGGGAGGGGGTTTCAAAAAGCTTTCTCTACAGTGTAGCGGATCCGAGCAAAGCAACTCCGCGCTCATAGAATTGATGTGGGCTTTGTCCATGCGCAATCTTCATGTCCACAGTGAACAATAGTTCTGACCTGTGCGAGTTGAGATACACAGGCAGATTGATCTTCTCTGCATCCATAGCTGCTTCTCCGGATGACCTGCAATCGTGAACATTATCAAAGTGAAGCTCGAGAAATAAGACACTTCGAAAGATTATTCAGTTTTTAAATCAACCTTTGATTTTCATCGAGCAATTACAGTCAAACCTCTTCAAGTCGAATTTCAAAGGAGCTTCGCTTCGTTTAAAACACACCAAGATATATTTTTATTGTTTTTCTCTCCTCTGTGTCAATAAAATAATGACCAAAAGGCCCTCAAAAATGCGAATTGTAGATATTTGAGGACGGAAACCTTCTAGTCCGGGAGTTTTTCCAAGGGAATTCAGACAGGCGCTGAGAACCATAGGAATTTGGCACATTATTCGACTTAGATAGCTTCGAGTTATCGAGGTTCAACTGTATTCTCGCATCCTTCAGAAAACGAACGGAAGGCTTCTTGGGAAAAGAAGGAACACCCGTTCGGAAAAAAGGCGGTGAATCAAACCTGATCCATTTCAGGGCAATTGGAGGCAGATCAGTCATGATGGAAGAAGTAAGTTTCAGTTGATTCTTGGTGCAAACCGCGCCCTGCAACTTCAGCCCTTGGACAATGAATCCACTTTCTTCATCCACTCCACCGTCCGTGACAAAAACGTCCAATTCCAACTCCTCCAGACTCCAAGAATTGGCCTGGGCCACGTACTGACGGGTTGCAGTGATGTACGCCTCGGGATTAAAAAGGCCGCCAAGCCAGACATGGATATTCCTCAATCCCTTGGCACCGTCTCTCTGCGAAGCCTCAGACAAGCGTTCCAATTGGGACAGCCTTAGGGCAAGATCAGTAACCCAGACGGAAACCGTTGTCTCTTGCGGAACAGTGTATTTTTTCCAAGATTTTGGCACAACGCCCTTCACAAGATTGTCTACCAGCATCCTATGGTAGTTAGTCTGCTTCCGGTTCCCCATGCAGATCTGCACCACTTCCGTCAAATCCTGTCGAATCTCCTTCAGAAGCTTCGACCCAAGATTTACTTCACGCTCGAAGAATCTGTACAATGGATCCTTGATGTTGTCCACAGTTCTGCGAAGCACAGCAAGCGACACCGGTAACATCATCAATAGAGAGTCAGCTGATAGCTGCAGCGTTCTCATCCAGGCAGGACGTCCATCTGACATCTTCGAGTCTTCCTGCCCTGGTGGTATGTAGGCTAAGTCATCGTCGTCATCTTCCAGCGACTGCATCTTCAACAGCTTTGCAATCATATCCGCTCCCTGCACACAAATAAATGTAAACGAAGTTTGAAAGGAAATAACTTGACACTCAAAATTAATACAGTAAAATCTCTTTACAACAAATACCACTAGAAAAATTCAGAACAAAAAACCTTTTCCGCAAGTCCTTCGAGAAAGCCCATGGAGTACACATTAGAATAAGCTCGTTGTTGCAGAAGAAACTTCCCAATTTCAAATACAGCAAACTTTTTTGAGGAATACGTATTAGATTCTCCAGATAGAAGTTTCCGGATTAAGGCAGGCACAGTCTGAACTTTCTGACCCCAAATTTGACCGACTGTTTCTTGTAGCGGTAACCAATAAAGAACATGCTCATAAGAAGTTCTACACAACATTCTCTCATAATGAAGAGATTGGGGCAACTGACGGAATGCATGATAGCAGCTAATTTTTTCTCAGAAGATCGCTCAGTTTTCCAGACAATAATTTAAAAAATCTGAGAATGCCAGAGAAGCAACATATGACTCATATTATTGGCAGATGCAAAGTGAAAATTTTGTCCAGTCATTAAATCTGAAAATTTCATTATAACAAATTATTCAGGACAACAAACTTTTCCTGAAGTCCCCAAAAATCTGTTGCCTGAAAGACAGAATTCGAACCTGATTGGTGAGCAAGACGCGTTCGGCATTCGGAGGCAACCCAAGCCAAGAAGGCGTCTGCTTCTCTTCCCTCAAGTTTTCTACCCAGGTAAGAAACTGGTCCCTCTGGATGACATCTGGCATGGGAATTGGCTCGGTGCCGGATTCACGATCCCCAGCAACTAGGTTGAAATCCGCTCCGAAACTTTTCGGAGTGAAAAACTTTTCCAGGAAAGATGTCAGTAGGCGGTGATCGAAAGTATTGTCGACTTTGCCTCCATAGATGCAGTTGGACATCAAGGTAATGAGGGCTTGCCAAGGAACCTTCTCGGGCGGTAAGTTTGCTCGACCCTGCTCGAGAGAATCAAACGTTCTGATCAACAATTACAGTATTTGATAGGATGTCTGAAACTATTGCTTCAACAAATCAAATGGTGCGCAAGAATTTGTCCATGTCAAATTTAATATACTGTACACGGGAATCCTCAAGAATTAAGGCTTTTATATTGATCCAACAGTCGTTCGGAAGGTTTGGACTCACGATGCTTGGTACAGTAGACAAACAACTTCGAAGAGAGTTCTATTTTTACTTTCATCATCAACCTGCTGGACGTCCAAGATGAAAAAGTACAATACATATACACTGAAATTAGTCGAGTCCAATAATCAGCATAAAATTTAAGATGAGGTTTGACTAGAAAAGTTTTTACTCAATATACTCTGCGCAATTAATTCATAGTAATGTACCGACTAAACCATTGGTCTGCAACCCGTGGTCGGCGGACGGGTGCCGGTCCACAGAAGATTTTGCCAGACCGCGGGAAATTTTCTCAGCAAAATTAATATATCGACGGTAGTAATGAAGTCTGTTATCTCTGTATGAAATTAAAAAAAAAACAATGGCAGTTCAAATTATCTGATGAAAGATAAAACTTGTCTTATCTCCTAATGCCTTTTCAAATTTTCACCTGCTGAAATAAATTATTTCTAGTTTTCGATCTGAAAAACCTTTCCTCAAGCCCACCTTTCTAATTTTTTGAAGACATTCCACAGTACCTGCTTCATTGGTTCTTGACTTAATTTTTGCAACAAAAGTTTTGTTTGGAGGACATCATGGCAGATATTGAAACTTCGCTGGTCCGCTAAAAATTCTACCGAAATTTGGCAGTCCGCTAACAATTTTATGGAACTTTGCCGCTCCGGAAAATTTTTTCATGGAAATTTGCCCGTCCGTGGGCCCAAAAAGGTTTTCGAACACGTGACTATTGAGAAAATAAACCTCAGACTGATACAAAATCGCTTCACGGACAAAACTCAGTTACCGGTATACAGAATTCGAAGTCTGGCGCATGAAAGTTAGATTAGCAAAAACAGATCATGCAATCAAGTGTCTCAACCGCTGAAGCTCGTGACTAACCATGGCAGTGGCTTCAATCCATACATCCAGAGTATCACAGGATACCTTCAAATCCGCTTCGTTGAACTCATACAACTTCGCCCAGCCCAAAGGCGAATACCTAAGCCTCTCCTGCACAACTGCATGGAACCAGGCCAGAAGGAAGTACAACCTAGCGCGCTCATTGGGCGGCTTCATCATCCTCGCAGGAGAAAACGTGGAGAAGGTCCTGATAAGGTTAGCTTTTATGCCTGGGGGCGGCTCAAACAACAGGATCCTTCCCGCCCTCAGCAAATTCACAGGAAGTTTAGGATTCAGTTCCATCGTCAGGAAGAGCCTGAAGGCCGGATGGGGCTGTGTCAGCGTATGAAGCTTCTTCTCCAGCTGCACCAGCCACGATGGAGCCAAGTGTACATTCTTCAGCAGCACCCACCTGAAAAACGAAGAATTATTATTCATTTGAGGGTTTCTGTTTCCTAAGATGACAAGTGCCACAAACCTGCCGCTCTTTGAGGCGGAATTTATAGCCTTTTCAGCCTCGGAAAAGCCTTCCGCAGATCCAATAGCAATGGAAGATAACGCTTTGGAAGTCTCAGCCGCCAAGTCGTCGATTCTTCCGGAAGCATCGAAACCTGGCACGGAGCACAACAGAAGCGGGGTTCTGCATTGAACCTGGAAAAAATGCAACAAAGCCGTCATATGAACGAAAAACGGCAGCTAAAATTCAGCAGAGAGCGAACCTCATGATCTACAATCTGCAGCAGGTTGGGCTCCTTGTCAGCCACCTGCATAAAGCCTTCTCCCATCACAGCTGCCACAAAACGTTGGCTCATGGCTGTCAAACGATCTGGTCTCAGAGCCTAAGAACAAATGGAAGCGCAATCAAATACAGTACTGTGTACATTCAGCTCATTCTCATTCCAGTGCTGAATCAACAAACCTGGATCAATAAAATAGAATAGATAGCAACTCCTATAGGGGTCAATGGCTTATCCACGTCCCAGATGTGAGGAACGTGGCTTTCCGGAGACGAAGTCTGAAGCCATTCCTGGACTTCTGGATCTTTCAACTTTTTCATTAAAGCTGCGAACACTGGAACCCTGAAAACAAACCCAATTTTTGTTGTTAAACTGCCCGACGACTTGCGGTCTGAAGTTTCGTACTTGTGAGAAAGACGCACTGCCGCGGCAGTTTCTTCCGGGCTAAGACCATCGACTGAGGTTCCATCATCCTGCACAACCTTGACACCTTCTTTCCCGCTAAAAACATCAAAAACAGTATTAGACCTGATGAACGGTTTTTTTTAAATCTGTAAGAACTACCGTAGAAAGTGGTTAAACTCTGCGTCATAGTCGCGCTCGTCCTTGAGTCCACGAAGACGAATTCTGCTTAACAAAATGGCGAATGTGACTCTATCCATATGGACCATTCCCTTTGCCACCCTGTGGTACGCAATCTGCAAAGAAGCAACTTCGAAAGTCTCAAAAAATTCAACAATTCCTCTACTTTTGAGCAGTCGTCGATTCAAGTCTTGCTCAAATTACCGCAATCAGATTTCAAAAATTTTCGGCGCGCCATTCACACAATGAATTTGTTCATTCGAAATGGGATGGAAAAAAAAACTACATGCCTGGAACAAGTCTTTCGTGATGATCGCCAGTCTCGATGAGCAATCCTTCACTCCGTTCAAATTATCATTGGCTGACAAAACTGAGTGGAAAATGTCCATGAAGAACTGGAGAGAATACTGGTACAGGAAGTGCATTTGATGCAAGGACTCCATGGTGAAATAAATGCTGCTGCAAGCCTGAGAAAAATAATTTTACGTCACCACACGAAAACAAGACGAAAACCCTGTTTCCGTACTTGGGCCAGCGGCATGTACTGCTGAGAAACTGTCTCAATCTCAGCAATAACCTTATCAGTTTCATCCACTTTCCTTGATATATCAGCAGCTTCCTTCTTCAATTTCTCTAATGTGTCAATGACGGAATCGTCATCCAGGATCCTTCCCTTTGCTTCGTTCAAGGCAGTCAACAAAGCCTGCTCCAAGTGCCTCAATTTCAATTTGAATTCTCCTTGCAATTTCAGCTGGTCACCACGCTTCTCATCAATATCTGGTCTTTCGGCTTTAAGAACCTGCAAAATCAAAGAACAATGAAACGGATCGTTGAAAAGCACAGGAAGATGGAGACAAACCTTGTTCAAACACTGGGTCTGCAAGCTAGCTCTCGTAACTGTGAAGTTGACAAACGTCACTCTAGAGCAAATATCCGGCGGAAATTCGACAGTTGGATCCCTGGTCGACAAAATGATGACAAACGAAGGAGACAGATCGATATCTTGGTCTCCCAATGTTATCAGCACTCTTCCTCCAGTCCTTCTCAACTCCCTGTTCAATACTGGATTCACGATCGGGTCATAATTTTCCACGTCCTGCGAATTTTGCAACAATAATGACGTCATCAGAAGGGTGGTTATATTTCACGCACCGAGAGTAGACAAATACAATTTCCTCGAAAAAAAAACGAACAGAACTGTAGTAATAAAAATAAGCCTTATAATTTTCGTACAACTCACCTTATACTGGAAACGGGTTGGCCTTACCCGATTTTTTTTCAACTCCATTCAATAACAAGATTACTTTTAAACATCGAGACTCCCAAAATAATCCATCATTTGAAAGATTCGGACTATCAACTTCGCGAGAATTTAAGGCAAAAGAGGAGAGGAATCTGTACGATTTGTTTGTACTCCGGTAAATTTACAAACGAAGCGAAAATTCCTTTTTCCCCTCTCGATCATACCATGAAAAGAAACCTTAACCTAATAAGAAATGAAATAATACCCTCATAAGACATATTATTTGATGAGAAATACGGTAAATCCGAGAATTCATGTCCTCAAAAGCAACCCATTGAGAATTGTCGAAGTGCACTATTCGAGTTCACTGTTCAATGAACAAAAGCAATAGAATTTTAACTCAGCCAACCTGGACGAGCAGTGGGTTTCCGAAACGCAAGGCTGACTCCAGGTTCTTCCGGAAGGCATCATCCAAAAACGACGTCTTAGTTATCTTCTTCTCACTATACTCTCGCATGATGAATTCTGTGGCTTGGCCAGATGGGTCAATGATCAACGGATAACGATTGAATCTCTGCAGGACAAAAAATTAATGAAGATTCATTCACTCATTCATAGAAAACTTTTTTCGCCTCATAACTGACCTTCAGCATGATGGCATTCTCGGTGCAAAGGTCATCAGAAGGTAAGCTGTTAGCAGACCACCTGAGTCTCTCGTCAGGGTTAGACAAGTATTCAGTTCTCGCCAGATCAGGCCTGAATTGAATCCCAGCAGCACTCAAGTGCTGACACCAGATCATGAACAAATTCTCCCTGTTGTGCTGATCGAAGTACCCAGCATATGCCAGGAACGCCGCGCACAACAAAACATCGCCCAAGATGGTAGACATTTGGGCTTGGAACGTTTTACTGGATGCCTCCCAGCGTTCCTTCTCTTGAGCCAATGATTTGAGGAGCGACATCGAACGGTCAACTTTGCCTTGGACAGTCGCCAAATCTAGTTTGATCGCCTGGGCTTCAGAAATCAGCAACGCATATTCTTCCTTATAAATTCCAATAGACTTCTCCAGCTCAGTTATGGCTGTCTTCACATCTTCCACCTGTACAATAAATCACTTTGAGACTGAGCGTAACGTCTTCAGATTTGAAACGACGGAAGTCGAACGAATGATTAATTATAGGCACAGTATCAAAATACCCAATACAGCACACTGGGGCCTTGAGCGAAGAGCCTAATCCGTTCCAGTGGCTCTTATTGCTCAAGTCAGGATTTTCCATGTACAGGGGTAGTAATTTATGGGAAATCGATTAGCTCCAGCCAAATTGATAGTTATTAGTCAAATCCCATCAAGACGCACCCTGATGAACCACCATCCTCAGCAACCGCCAATTTTTTTTTTTTACCTTCTCTAACGATAAAAGTATTGGAAACCCTGTTTGAACGCCGTATGCCAAAATTATACAAGAACTCAAATATGCTACCGCCAATTAATTTTGTCTTCAATAGTCCGTCAACAAAATTCAGGTTTCTACAAAAGCTCTCCAGTTGAAAAAAGCGAACACAAAGATGACATGATTTACATCTTAAAACATCAGCTAGATACTCGTTTAATCTACGCATCCCAGGGTTATTTTGATTGCTTTCTACAATAAAAAAGAAAATTTAATTTCCAATGAAACCTAATTTTCATAATACTTAAGCTTTTTTGATAGAACACCATTCCCAAGTCAAACTGCCAACCGTGTTCAACAGCCATACACCTCCAGAACAAATGGTGGCGTCTTATCGAGGTCTGACTGTAGTAAAATTAGAGAAATTCGTCGAGAAATGAACAATACAAAAAGAAAATAGCAGCCACTGATAATTCCAATTCAAAATTATTCGTAGCAGGATAACTGGGAGCATAGGAGGCATTAAAATTCACTAAATTCGAATATCCCTCGGATTCTCCCATGATGAAATAATTCTGGTTAAAAATGGAAATTTTTCAAATTTCTGCTTGACAACTTTTTTTTCCAATCTTTCATTGATTCGAGGTTCATTCCTCAAGTCGTTCGTTGATCAAGGTAAAATGGCTGCCGCGCACGGGTTCGTCATGTAAGAATATCGCTGCTTCGGGCATTCGCTGTTTGAGGGCCCCACCGAATACGACATACATTTTGCTTTCCTAGCATTAATGACGAACCTGTTGCTCATTCTCCTTCGCCTTCTCCTCGTAATGACTCAGCTCACTCCTCAAAGGTTCCACCTTCTTCAGCATGTCCGAATAATTGATTTGCGCAATGGCCCATTTGACCATTGGCCCACAAGCTTGGGACGCACGGTTGGCCTTTTCAAAAGTGTAATCAGTGTTCGTGAGATACTTGGTCATCATAACATGCCGGGCCTCGTCAGAGATGTCGTCGGTAGAAAAGTTGACGATGTTGGAGATGAAGTTGTCACGCATGATGATACCCCTGATAGCTTTCCAGTCAGTGACCGGTTCACCCAAGAGCAAGCAGATGGACTCGATCGCCAACTTCACGATAGGTGGAGGGTTTACCATGGTCCTGATCTCAGCCAAGTGCTGTTTCTTAATCGACTGCACAGCTTGTTGGGCATCCATCACAGCTGGCTCTACTTTGGACAAGTCAGCCATCACTTCCTGCTTCTTGAGACCAATGGCCTGTAGCTGGACAGCAAGATCCTGTTGAATTTTCTGAGAGCGTTCCTTCTGTCTCTGGGCCTCTTGCTGGTCATCAACCATTTTCTTCAGCTTCAAGTTAGCTGCCTCGTTCTTCGTCTGCAACTCCTGGGACTTGACGGCCAAAGATTTCTGCATTTCTTCCACCTGAAGAAAACATCACAATGATTCCACACAAATATTTCGTCGACAGAGGCAAGAGATTCATTACCTGATCCACGGTTTCAGCGATTTTAGTCAGACCAACACTGAGATGCATTTGTTGCTCCTCCAGATCTTCCCTCTTTTCCCGATGCAATTTCACGAAATGGTTGATGAAATCCAAGTAGTGCCTCGGGGTGATCGACATGGCATTACCTCCACGCCTCATCAACTTGGCATTTGTTTTATGCAGAGTGTCATGGACATAAACAAAAGCATTGACAATCGCGTCGCGGTGACTTGGTGGGAGGCGAATACCGTCCCAGATGCAAGGGAAGAAGTCCGGGGGTTTCCAAGATGCTACATCGAGGTCCATCTTGCTAGTGAATTCTTTTCCGACTTGGAATAAGGCTTCTGTGCTCCAGTCTCCAAACCAGTTCAGGACGCAGCGATTGAACAACGCTGGTGATGTTGCTGCACGGCTCTTCAGGCCCTCTGACGAGGGGTTCATCGTGAAGACCACATGCAGGTTCTTCATCACCTACACAAAAGAGTTGAAGGATGAAGGTCATCTCAAATTTCCGCCAATATTTCATGAAACAGTGATAGATGTTAAAGTTTAGTTCGCAGGTAGGCCTTGCACTGAAGAAAGACGCGTTAGCCCGTGTTCTTGAGGTTAGCTAAATAAATACTGTAATGCAAAATGATTCAGTATTTACAGTGAAATCCAAGAGTTTTCAATTGCTGTGCCACCAATAAGGATGCTGTTTTCCTTCACTCCACTGACAAAATGAAACAATTGTAGAATGAACCGGACCTTTTGAGATGTGTTCTCAAGACATATTTTGCATGACATTTTCACAGACTCATCTTTCGAGAATGAAATCTATCCACGGAGGTTAAAACTCAGGAACGAATCATTGAAGAACGTTTAGGCACGCTGTAACCTTTCTGGCAAAAAAAATGCATCAACTTGTACTTAATTGATCTCACCTGACCAGTGAACCATTTGTAAAGCTCCTCTCCAGAATCCAACATGAGTCCTTCACGCTGGGCGCCTTCTTTGCATTGAGTCATCAACGTGGTGTACTCATCGCCATCAAAAAGGCCGGGAACTTCTCCATTGGCCAACAAAGTGTTCATCCTTTCCAGAAACCCGCTCTCCATGATGTTCGACTCATCCAGAATGAAGCACATTTTCTCGTCACGGCAGCCAGCTCTCCGCAACACCTGAGAAACATTCAACTCAATCTCTTTCCAACGTTGCATTCTGAATCAATTCCTTACAGTTCTCAGGTCTTCGTCAAAATCCTCCGCAGTGTATCTATTGTGGACCTTCACTTGGAAAATGGAAATTCCATTCATCCAGGCCACGAACCTTGACAAAGTCGTCTTCCCCGCTCCAGACACCCCAATTAGCAACACATGACCCTGGGGCTGTCGGAAAATCCTGTCGATCCTCAACACATGGTCCAACACCTGCAATCCACAAAATTATTCAGCAATCGCGGTAGAAAATTTTAAAATATCGACGCCAAACCTCATTGAAGAGGACAAGAGGCACGTCCAACTCCTCTTCATAAAAGACTTTCAGTCTGGCTTTCACGTAGCTCCTCAGCTCTTCCCTGTCCACTGGCAGGTAATCCCTGGAGAGCCAGTTTGAGTACAAAATGGGTCTCTTCAGGGCTTTCTCCTTGTCCAGAGACGGGAAGTGCTTCAACGCAACGGCATCCACGTTCTCGTCCGTCCAGCGTCGCTCTTCATCATCTACGAGTCGGTCTTGGAATAACCTCAGTGCTTCATGCGCCCACAGCCTTACCAAGCCATCAAGGTCAAGAGTCTCCAATGGCCTGCAAAATCATGATCGGGAACGTTAAACGGTTAAAGGTCATCATATCGTAAATTCGCAGTAATCCATTTTTTTCCAACCAAGATGCGTCAATGCAGAAGCCCATAAAACTAAGTCTGAATAATAAAAATTAAGCACAAAAGCACAACCACTCTGATTTCCGCAAGAATGAAGCGAGTGACATGTACTGATTTTTGGAGAGAAAAAAAATCACACGGACATTTCATCTATTTAGGCAACAACAAAACAATTATTAGAACAGGTAAGGTAAGTCTCTCAAGCTTCAAACATGATATCTTTTTGAGCCTGACCCACTATTCATATTGAAATTTTGATAATACCTTCCTTCTGGCTTCATCATACAGTATTTCTTCGCTTATGTCGATATCGTCGGTTTTATCTGCATTATATTTGGGTTTGTTTGAGCGTGTCCGGCATTTAAAAGCAATCGGAAAAAACACGATGTAATGATTCAATACTGTATATGGTTTCCATGTCCATTGTATAATAAAATGTCACGTTCGACTGGTGATAGAACATAAATATCATTGATCTCGACCAGATTCAATTCTTGAGATCGGGCTCCTATGAAGATACGCCCGAAAATGGTAATAATATGGTTCATTTTCTATGAGGCACGGAAAGTAGGATGTTCACTGAATCGTGAGGCCCGAAAGTTTTCTTCTCAGCGACTTACCTAATGGCTTCACAGATTCCTCTGACCCATCGGCTCATTTCTCGAGGGGAATAGACATAGTGAGGCTGGATATCCTGAGTGAACCGTTCTTGACTCATGAGGAAGAACTCAACCATGGCTGCTGTCAGTGGGTCAGCAAACCCACGCAGCATTGGGATCAATCGTAACATGGCCCGATTGAACGTGCCATAAATCTGCAAAGGCGAGAAGTAAAAAAAAAACATATGTTCAACCTTGTCACGAAATCCGTAGACATATACACAAGGGAGAAAAATATTGTTCGCCTTTGGAAATGGCAGACTTCGGGAGAACGTGGGCGACCGCGCAAATTTTTCCGGTCTCCATACTCCACAGAATTGAAAGTATTAGAAAATTCTCAATGGCCACATAAAAAACGCACTCATTCAACTGTTGCTTCAAAAGCCAGCAAATTAAAAGCAGTTACAGTTTACTACTGTATTTCTAAAATATACAGTACCTGCTTCAAAGAAAGTTCCCCGGGAATGCTCATCTCTTCCGCTCCTCGAGATGAGCATTCCCTAATTCCGACAATTCGATAAATAATTTTGAAAAAGCTTCAAGACGAGAGCGAAATATTATACCTGATAATATGGAGGTTGTCTAAAGAGACAACCTCCATATATCCAACTTCGACTTGAAAGTTCAGACCTCTGAAGTCACGATTGCATCAAATACCCGTCGAGAAGAACCCACTTCCTACAGCATTCTAAGAAAATAATATACAGTACCTGCTTCAAAGAAAGTTCCCCGGGATAATCGACGTAAACAACAGGGACATGTCGTAAGAATCTGTGACTCAGAGGTTTTCTCCCAGGATCTGTAGGTGGGTTGCAAGCTCCGACAAACTGAATCCTCTCCAACGTCACCCAAGCCTAGAAGAAAATGAAGTGTTTTTCCAGTGTCCAGAAGATCAGGTCAGTATTTCAACGGTTACCAGATCAGAACTTCGGTAAAACCCGCCGTGCTCCAGAAGTTGACGAATGAAAGAAATGACACGTTGTGTGCCGTAACGATCCATGTCGGGTAAATTGATTTCATCACAGAAGATAACGATCCATTTGCCGATTTGTATCGGCGCCAAAACCACGCCGTTCGGAGTTCTTCTATATTCACAATAGTGATGAAAAGTCTTCAGAATCAACTCCGGTGACGATGCTGAAGAGAAGTTGAGGCCAACAACTTCCAGGTCAGGAAGTGCTCTCAGTGCGCTGAATAAAGTCATTGTCTTTCCACTTCCAGGTGGTCCACACAAAACTGAAAGATCAAATGAAAGATCAATTCGTTTCATCTCTTCCGCTGCTCGAGATGAGCATTCCCCAATTCCGACAATTCGATAAATAATTTTGAAAAAGCTTCAAGACGAGAGCGAAATATTATACCTGATATCTACAAGGACTCGTTCAAAAGTTTCATCAGTGTTGCGCTTCCCATCGTCCACGTTGATTTTAACAGCCTTGGACGTAATCCTGAATACTTTCTCACAGCTTTTGTTCTCATTTTTACGTACTCAGGTAAAAATGGAAGAAGGGAAGAGTCGGAAGGGCATTCACACAATTGAGAAATAAAGTTTACGCATTGAAGTGGCAAGAATTTTTAGGACGTCCGAAAGCTTCACGACGTTTAAATAAAATAAAGGAGTAATTCCGAGATCAAGCCCCTAAAGCCACATGAATTGCTACGAAGATGTTTAGATGCTGGCACATTTTTGTTGTCAACTGGCGGGTAAGAAGTTGCCGGATTTCGGACAGATATTTAAAGAAAATGTCCTGTGAAATGTGTGGGAAGCCTTACTTTGAGACTCTTGATTAATTCCGCAGCGGTACTTCTCGGGATTTTAGATACCTGGGTGTACAAAGAATTTTCCGGACAACACAGTTTCAATTGTTTCATTTATAGGAAGAAAGAACTTCATCGCCTCAGGTGAAGAGAACACAAGAGAGCACTAAAATGATGTTGCCGAGTTGATGCGAGGAACTTTCAACCCACATTCGAATGCCCAGTTTAAATATTTCGAGTTACGTAATTGGTAAAACTTAAGCAACAACGTTCGCAAATATTTTAAAAATGCTACACCAATGAGAAATCGTCAATAATTTAACTACACTATTTTCAGCCCATATGAAACTGGAATAACGAGGACTAACCCATGGGTTTGTGGTCCGCCAGCCAGGTGTGCAGGAGTGCTTCATGTCTCACAGTGTCTACTGTGGGCACGACGACGTCTGGATGAGCCACCTTATGGGTTTCCACTTCGATTTGTGGTACCCTTGTGGCCCAAGAGACCCATTCTCCTTGAATGTTCACCTGGGATAAACGAAGAATGAAAATGAAAAGAGGACATCTTTCGAATCAACTTGACCGAAACTTACCTCGTAGTCAACGAGGGGTAAAGCGGTGCCCGGTGGCAACGGAATCGTGGTGATGGACCTGATGAAGTCCCCAAGGTCCACTCTGCCTTTCAGCTTGCAATCACCAGCAAATGACCACAGTATACAGTGCACCAATGCCTTAGGAATGTACTTCTCCAACTGGTCCCACTGCATGGGGAAGTCCTGATGCGTCCGGTTGTAATCAATCACATTCCTTTTCGGAGGTAGGAGCGTTTTTCAAGAATCTTTCAGGGAAATATAAGTTGTTGGTCGACAAGCTCACCTCACGCACTGGTTCAGCATGGAAAACAAAGAGCCCAAAGCTCTGAGACGGGTGAAATCCATCACGTGATCCAACTGTTCACAAGCGTAATCCAACGTCCTGTGCACCAAGGCTTCTTGCTCGAAGTATGGCGACAAAATGCTCGCGACATCTCTTTGCACCTGTAATGTTAAAAAATAATCCTCAGGGGATTACTTTAGACATCCTCATAGAACCCCGTTTGCAAGATGAAGGAAACCCCTAACATTTCAGACTGCGTTCACCAAGCAATTTCACGAGAAAGTTCAATGTTCAACATTGCTTTTGGTGTCAACTCTTCCAACTTCAGTATTGGGAGTAAAACTGACATACAAGAAAATGGAGTATAAAACCATTTATGAAAATAGTTTTCCAGCAAAAAGTACTCATGGCATCTGCTGAGCCAAATTTTGAGATTTTCTGTACATTCATGAACAAAAAACTGAAGGTTACCTGGGCATCACGTTAAAATATTCTAGAAAGATTAAAAAATCCAATGCTTGAAGCTGGTTACATGTACACGGTCCACTGGTAATCTTGTACTTATGCTGTAACTTCCTGGTAAAACATACTGTACTGTATTCCAAAGAAAATAACAATGATAGTGTTCACTTCTTTGAGGCCCACTGGTTACCTTGCACTTGTACTCAATGCATCAATTGTGATCTCCTGGTCTCAACTGGTTCATGTGCAGGTATTTTTATAGGTCATGGAATCCAGTTCACACACTCAATGTGTATGGCTAATCTAATATAAACCATATATATATGCCACATGTTTTGTTTCCCTTCCCCCTGGAAGGCACCTACACGCATGGTCAGGAGGGTTTTGTCATGACAATTCAGCAATACAAACTAAATACGAAACTTGATGGAGAAAAAATAAATACCGCACTAGAAAAAAAAGTACATGAATGAGGCGCCCACCTGCAAACCGGCAGAAGTTACTCTGCCGCCTTCTCCGTCAACGGCCGCCATTCTCATAGAATGCTCATCATCCCCGTCCTCCAACGCTACACTCTTCAGCCTCATCAGGTAGTTGTCACAAATCATGTCGTCCTTCAAGACATCACTCGAAAACCAAACCATCCCACATCTGGATACCGTGGCCAGAGTAGCAAACTTCAAATCTTGCACCTGAAATAAGTTATGAGCCTTGTAGCTCGTCAAAACCTGAGGCATACTGCGAAAAGTACCTCGAACATTATCCTGACGTTCGGTGGCAACCCTAGACGTTCTCCATTCGGCAAAGTGAGCAACTTATTGTCATCCAGAACGGAGTTGAGATTTTCAACCCATTCGGGATCCACGTCACCGTCGAAAATAATCCATTGCCTTTTGTCCAACTCGCCACGAACGTTATCAATGATCTTCCTCAAAACATGCGTGAATAGGCCATCAGTCCACTCCCTGGTATTCGGATCCATCATCCCATAAAGCTCCTCTGCAATGGAAATAATTGTCATTTCATTACCGTGCACGAGAAATTTCCCTGAAGTCAGAACAAACCTTTGGAAATCGCTTTCGGGTCGATGACATGAGCAACCCCAGGTTTGCCTTCCAAACGCTCCAAAGCTTTCAGCAGCACTTTCCACGCCGATGATTTTCCACTTCCACTTGGTCCAACCATCATCAAACCATGATTCAAATGCGATATTTGGAAAAGTTGTAACACCTGATATAACATGAATTGGATTCTCGGTACAGTGTATTACAGGGAGGCATAATTTTGCCCAATTTTTAGCTAATTATTTTTTTTTAAAAACGCGATTCTAGGCAAAAATATGCAAGTACCCCTCGACTCGAATATCGCCATGACTTCAAAAACCTTTACCTTGTCCATCCATAAAGTTCCAGGACCGTCATTTCCACTACTAAGATCATGAACGTAGAAATTTTCGTTGCAAACGTCACGAATGTGTTTCTTGAGGTCATCCATCTGAGCTCTCGTATATTCTACTCCCGGGAAGACGTCAGACAGGAGCGAGAAGAGCAGCGGGATGTCTTCAGCAACCAGCTTCGGAACCATGGTCTCACAGACGGCTTGGATCAAAATCTTCATAAAGAAAGACCCTCTTCGGTCAATGAACAGTTTTTCACGCACAGTATACCTCGAACGACTCACCTCCTGTTCAGGGAGATTCTCGGCAATCGCAGCTTCATCAACAACCTCTTCATTCTCCGATCTTGAATCTTTGATCCTCTGGATCCGATCTCTCTTCACGTTTCCAGCACTCACCAGCACAGATTTCAAGGCTCTCAAACCGAAGTCATAGTGGCTCTGACTGGATAACTGCTCGTGACACAATCTACCAAAACGCACCGGTTAAAGAACTCAGTAAGACTTTAGCAAACAAACGGTTTACTTGAAGAAAGGAACAATCTTCGAAGCGAGTTTTTCGGCAGTTCTAAATCCTTGAGAAAACAGCATCACTTGGGCGATCAACTGCCTGTCTGGTTGGGTCATTGCCAAGGACCTGAAGAGCTTCTTGAGGTTATCAGGAAGGTTCGACCTCCCAGCATAACCAGGATTCATGGTGATGAAAATGGCCATGTCTGGGTTCACCCTGACCTGCTTCCCAACCAACTCCACAGCCAGAGCTGCAGAAATAGAATCGTAACTTTTTTTATGATCTTCAAAGCGAGGAAAGACATACTCACATGCATCTTTCTTGTCGACTTGAGACTTCAAGCACTCTTGAATAGCCTGGATTTGCTGGGAGCATGCAGATAGCATACGTTCGTCCAGCCGGTTGAACTCGTCGAAACATCCCCATGCACCAACTTGGCAAAGCCCGACGAATATTCTTCCCATCGCTTGGAAATCAAATGTCTCATCACAATTGAATACAAGGACAAATCTCCCAAGCTGGTTTCCAAGAGCTTTGACAGACTCGGTTTTCCCGGTTCCGGCAGGGCCTGCACAAAATCAATTCCGTTACAACTTCATCATCACAAGAATATCCAAGCTAGCAACGCCAAGGAAGTGGCCGGTTACATATAGGATTGAAATAGGTCAGGCTTCAGTAACTTGAGTTTCACGAAGTTATGCTATGTTAGGTTAGGTCAGATCAAGTTACGAATGTTTCATTTGTATTTTTCGATTGGGGGAAATTCAGTCGACATCTGCCAGAAGCTCCAGAAAGTCGGGTTCGGCATCAGAACGAACAAAAATACTGTAGCATCATGCCGTCGCATATAAGGTACAGAATTGAAATACAGTATTGTAAAATTATGGTGACTGATAAAAATTCAAAAAACCGTCACAAATCAAGAAATAATCAGCCAGGCTCTAAAACTCACCGAACGGAGATCCTCCAAGCTTGGCATCCAACGCCTGGGTCATGGTCAAGTAACATCTGTCAGTCAGCGGGGTTTGAACTAGTTTTTCCTGCACCCCAAGGTATTCAAAGCCATAGTAAAATTGGGAATTCGCCATGCTAATCGTGAGTTGCTTCAAGGGATCATTGCCTTTTGGATCCAGATAAAACCTCATCTGACTCAACCATTGGAAGTTCTTCGGAGACTTAACCTCACTCTCAATCAACGACCTCGTCACAGATCTTTTGTGCACAAATTCAGAAATCTGATGAAAACCGAATAAATTATTAATTTTTCTCCTGAAGACAGAGCAACGAGAGGTTCCTCACCAAATGCTCAAGCTTTCTGCGCCTCACAGGCGGTTGTTCCTGCAAAACTGAGTCCGCTAAAATCTGCAACGTGGCCTCAACTGCCGCCAAGACGAACTTCATTTCGCTTTTGCCCTCCTTCTCAGCCTGAAATTCGAAAACAGTAAAATCTTGTTAATCTTGTTACAACAAATACCATTACAAGGAATATTTCAGTATAACAAACTTTTTCTCACATCCTGGCCGAAAACCATTGGAGTACATGTTCGAACAATCTTGTTACTGTATAACAGATTTCTCAATTCCAGGATAACAAACTTTTTTGAGGAATGTTTCATAGATTCTCCAATTAGAAATTTCCTGAAAAAGGCAGGCACTATCTGAAATTTCTGATTTCAAATGTGACTGACTAGTTCCTGTAAGATGGATGGAAGCGGTGATGAATGACAAAGGCTTCTAAGTAGTTCTACACATCATCCTCCCAGAATGAAGAGATTGGTGCAACTGATGAAATCTGACGGCAATTTTTTTTACTCAGTTTTTCAAACAGTAATAAAAATCTGAGAATGCCAGAGAAGTGTTCTAATTGATCTGATTGATAATAGGCAGGTTTGATGTGAAAATGTTTTCCAGTCATTATCTTTTGAAATCTTATTACTGTATAACGAATAGAGTATAACAAACTTTTCCAAAGTCCCCAAAAGTTCGTTGTAACGAAATTTCACTGCATTAAAAGAGCCAGTTTTGCAAAACTCGATTGGCGCTTTGATCCAGAGGAACGCCGACATCCATGATATCAGGTCAAGATAAAAATTTCCTAGTTCGCATTCAATCAACGACCAAGTACAGTTGAGAAAAATTTCAGTTTCAGCCAAGGATGCATTTAAATCCGGAAAATAATCCTAGCGCGTCTAATCGAACAGCGGACTGTTATGTAAAATGTTCCACGGACCTTAACCAAGGACGACTCGACGTCTTCACTCCACGAGATTTGGACGGCAAGCACAACAATCTGAGATTGGTAGCGATCAACCCAGTCGATGAAGGCCTCTGCGTTCATTTGTGCAGCACCACTAACTGTCTCTGAAGCACCACTGGTGGATCTCAGTCCTTTAAACCTGCTCACTGCTTCGCTCAATCGGTCCGCCAACGTCAACCTCATTTCCTTCTCCACTTCCATCAACCAATCGTTGATTTTCGGATGTCTGGAGGCCAAAAAACCAAGTTCATACATAGATCATCACAGAAAAGCTGAAAATTCAGCTAAAATATTGACAGATTCCAGCTTAAAATCCGAAAATTCAAATTAAAATCTGCACTCCACATTCACAGGAATTTATAAGACAAGCATAAAATAGGAAAAGCTGGCTTCAAATTAATCGAAGCCAGACGGATCTGAACTTCTCGGCAAACGAAGGCTATTAACACTGCATATGAAAAACCACGAGTTCATTCAACCAAAAAGAGCCAGCATCTCAGGAAGAACGAACTTCTTCCCAAAATCGAGAAGGCAATGCTACGAACACAACTAATGAAGAAGTATATCGAACCAATAAATCCAAGCTTTAATTTTTTTGACAAGCAAAAGGATACTGTACTTCAATTCCATCTTCTTTACCTCAGCAAGTCAACAGGATGCAAGAACCGAACTTCTTCGCCTTCCCTTGATGCCACTCCTGTGATTGCTGTAGAATCTTCATTCAGAATCACTGCCGATACTCCGGCAAACATTTTCTTGAAATGCTTTTGTAGCCTCGCAATATTCTTGCTATTGCCAATGATTTCCAACAAGTCTTCATCTCCAACGAAGTAGAACCTCGGGAATGACGCTCGCTCTCGCTCCAAGTATTCTCCAAGTGCCTTCTGGATTTTCCCCAATAAATCTGCCAGCCTTTCTAGTGACTGAAAAAATAAAACCATGGTTCTGATGACTCGTTTTCAAGATCATGGGAACGAATTTCATAGAAATCCAGTCACCTTCGAAACGTAAACAAAGTGAACATGAGAATAAACGGATATTTCGATTCTGAATGCACCTAAAGCCATTCAGATGCGATTTTTTCAAACGTCCGCAGGAGACTTCAAGACATTTACAGAAATTAGTTCAGATCATGCTCGTAAGCTTATTCTGATACGTGATACGCTGTTCGATAAGTCAAAATATCGATCACTTCAATTTCATGAGGTTTTACACTTTTGGACAAAGATGGTGCGTCTCATATTCGCGTAAAAACGGTACGTCACGGCATGTGGGCATAAGATTCTCCTACGAACCTTCTGGACACCGACGATGTTGAGGACATCCATCACCATTGAACTCTTCGCAACCTTCTTCATCAAGGCAAGGAACTCTGAGCTTATATTCTGAAATCTGGACGTCTCGACCGGGAGAAGAGCTTGGATGTCCGCACTCCCTGAGAAGATCCCTTCCAGGTGAACCCAGCGACGTTGGACGTCGATCCAGACATCAAAGACAGCATTGATCCTGTTCAATTTGTCCTCCCAGGTCAAGGCTTCCTCTTCAAAAACTTTGTAATACGGTGATAGCTTCATGGCATTGATTGAGTTAATGTTTTCTTTGAGCTTGATGAACAGCTCATCCCAGCCACGGATCAGCTTGCACTTAGTCTGGTAATTGACGAGCTGTAGCTCATACGATTGCCAAAATTCTCTGACCTGGAGAAAAGAATCAGCATCCGAATGCATTGTTTTAGTCGTGCAACGATCATTTCGATCTTTTTCCAGTTTTTCGTACAACTATCGCGCATTTTCGGACACTTCATAAGCATACGACACTCTCAACCTGAGATATCACGAACTTCCAACATATATCGGCGATTACCGGACATTGTGAGTCCTTGGTAATTCGTTAAGCGAGGATGAAAAAAAGTCCTCACCTGTTTGAGGAATTCCTCGAGAGCCATTTCACCTTGTGCCACGAGGATGACATCTCTAACAACAGCCTCATTCTTCTGTAGATTAACGTCCCACACTTGGCCCAAAGTCAGCTCATTCAGTTGCCAATTTACGCGCAATTGCCTGGTTAGTGATTTCCAGTGACGCTCTTTCAAAGCTTCAGACTTGAGTTCAACAATAAGTAGGTTGACTTTAGCGTATGACTGTAGCAACTTTTTAACATGCTCATAGGACGCATAGTGACGAAGTCTGGCTGGCAAATCTTTCAATTTCGCCACGAGGGAGTCGAGTTGCTGACGCAGTTTCCTGGGTTGAATTGAAAGCCAAGGCTTTTCTCGAATCTCGTCGATTTCTTTCCAAATCGAGCTCAACTCGTTCCAGACACCCTTCAAGTCCGTCAACTCTTCATAAGCCACCTCCAGCCGAGACTCAGACACGCTTGCTGTGCCTGAAAAAAAAAAAAATATATATATATATAAGCCATAAAGACTTTTCGCGTTTTCACTGAAATAAAATTAAGGTACTGTACTAGCAAACCAACACGAGTGGTCGCTTCAAAATTTTTTTTCAACCACACATACTGTCCAATAATCTAAAATCCAAAAAGGTAAAAAAATCGTTTCAATTCTTCATCAAATTAATCTTGCCTTTCATGAGTAATGAAAATTCAGAACAAGATCTTCATCGATGCAAACGCAGTCACTTCAAACTAAAAATTTGGTCAAACGGTACAATCAACTCAACCAATCATGCCTACCGTATATGAGAATCATGCTCATAAAATTCAAAGAAAAAGAATTTTCAAATTCATACGTAAAAGCCAAGCTGGATAAAATTTGACGAATATGTTTTACTGAAACGAACTATGCTAAAAACTTGATTGACTTCTTAAAAAGTACAACCAATGCCAACAGAAAACCTTTCAAATATTGCACAAGGGAAAAAAACCGCGGCAATACATTTTTCACTTGGTTCATGCTGGTCTGCTTCCAGAGAGATAAAAGATACATGCTGTATACTACATACTCAAACAATTTAAAAGTTTCGGCTAAGTCCTCGTATTCTCACCAGGGTCCTGTAGTTCCAAGGCTTCCTTGGCTTTGGCAACATTTTCTCTATCTTCCTTCAGCCTAAGAAACCGGGTTTCGTACATGGACAGCCTCTGAAGAGCTTCTTCTGGACGGATGTGACCTTCTATAGGCTTCGCCTTCTCCCAGTCCGTCAAATATTCGGCACTTCTTCCTTCAACAGTTTTATCTTCTGCTACAATTTTCATTTGCAAACTTGCCACCTGGAGAAAATCACGTCAATTCGACTCTTCTTTTTTCGAAAAGCTAATTACGAACCTGAGTTTGGATATTGGTGTCCTTCCTTCTCATAATCTCATTAAAAGCTGACCATTCTCCGTTGATATTGTCAGCATGCAGCCAGTTGGTCGGGAACTGAAAACGCTGGCGTTCCAGAATTCTTTGGCCTTCTTTGTAAACCTCAACCTGACGAAAAGAACATGAAATTTTTCATAATATGATAATTTGCAGATCATCAGGCCGTCAAACCTCTTTCTCCCATGTCTTCAGCTTTCTCTTCAATCCCTGAACTTGGGTAATCAAGGTGACCGCATCGGAAGTGCTAGCAGCTTCAATCGACTGAAGTTCAAGTTCACCACGGGCCTACAAGAAGAAAAGCAAGAACATGAAGCCTGTGGCGTCCAGATACAGAAGACTTTACGAGGTTAATTTTCACCACTTAAAAGGACGAATAGAATCTACTAATAGAAAAATAGAATCTGACGTGTGCATGCAATGAGAAAATTCGTCATTTGAATCTCGGAACAATCTATCACTGCAATCAAACACATTCCAAATTAAGAAACACTGTATTATACTGTTAGCGCTAATAAACTTGGTGTAAAACGAGATTTAATCAAAGTTTACACCCGCTGAGATACTTTGGGCGTGAGAAAGCTACTGACAGTCCCGCACCAGTCAATACTTCACATTTGTAAACAGCAAATGAATAAACATCTCGGCTTTTTCTTCATATTTTGCCTTCGCTTTCCGTTAATACAAGAAGACGGGTAAGGGAGGTGGTGGAAGAGACTAACCTTGGATATGTTGGCGTGGAATCTGCTCATCTCTGACCCAAGCAGTTGTCCAAACCGGCTCAGCACTTCCTTGTGCCAAGCATCATATTTCAAAGATACTTTGCTCTGTACTTTGCCATAGTTGATCGTCACGGGACCGAATTCTTTGTGAGTGTCAGAAGTGTCGAAAGTTGTACGACACTTTTTGATGTCATTGATGCACACCATCCACTTGGCTACATCATCCCCGAGTACAGATTGAATGTGGTCATACTGCAGGTCCCAGAGTGACTGGTATCTCAGCCACTCATCCACGTACTTCCTGATATCAGAAATAACATCTTCCACTGCTCTGTAGGCTGCATGAAGAACTTTCGGTCCTCCAGGGATCTTCGTTAGCAACTGCTTATAGTTGCTTGCTTCTTCAGACAACGAGCTCTCCAGGGCAACCTATCAAACGTATTCATTCTCAATTTACCGACAAAGACAACGCATGCGGGGATTATAATCAATTGTTCATTGGCTAATGGCTGGTCTAACCTGGTAACGTGTACTTTGAATCCTGTCTTGCAACAGAATCACATTCTCCCAAGCAAAAAGCTCGCAGTACAGCTGATGTCTAGTTGCCTCCATGTGAGGATGAAGGTACATGATCTGGTTTGTGATCCTCAACTCATGCACCATACGTTTGATCTAACACAAATAATGTAGACTGCATTCAAGGTATTCTTGAGAATGAATCCAAGATACATACCACAGGCTCTCCACCGGCTTTGTGGGCTGGTGTTGAAGGCACATCAGTGTCATACTCAGGCTCATCTTCCTTATGACCAATCAGGGCAGAAGTCCAGGCTTGCAAACCGGCTTGCAGTCTCGATGCCAACTTGCTTTCCACCTGGAACAAGAGGATTCACATTGAAATGAATGGGCAATTGTTTCACATTTTATATTTCTATGCAAAGAAACGCGATCAAATGCTCTTTTTCGGAGCTCGAGATATTCAACAGAATCGTATCAAAACTGAAAATACTGTAATCCAACTTCGTAAAAGAGATGTGGAATAAGTTTCAAGTACTGTAATTCTGTTTTACGTTCAGGAAAAGTTGAGGTAACTGCAGCTGGATTTGAATTTCAATAATTGGAGATAGACCAATTGTGAAGATCTTGAGAAACACGAAAACACCAAACAACTTCGGCTTCGGAAAAATCACACCTAAAATACGAAAGGACAATCTCTAGGAACGACTTCCTCCACATTGGTATACCTTGATACAAATTTCTCTTGGGTAACATTTAAACTCTAGGGGCCATTGGGCATCGTTGCAGAGGAAGTCCGCCTGCAAACCAACTTCGAAAAAAAACGAGATAACTCACTATACCCCCTTTGATTTTTGTTGGGATAGCAACGAATGACGATTCCACGAGAAGTAAACCATCTTACTGTAAATCAAATTCCCTTCGATCACCCAGAGAACAATTTTCTGGAATAAGTGAAATTTCCTTCGCACCTCAGACATTTTTATGGGCTGGGTTGCAACAAATAAAGAATGAAATTATCCTTTCACCAACTTACGTCCGAATCCAGACGAGAAACCCAAGCATGAAGATTGGAGAAACCTTTCAGACTCAAATCGTCTACAGTTTTTTGAATCTTCTTCAAAATAGCAGCGAATGTAGATGAAGAATATGCGCAAGTCTCCAGACTCTTCACATCAGCTTCTATCTGCTCCTCCATGCTAAGCACTTCCTCAACCTTCTCTTGGAAAGCGAACACCAGGTCAGCCAACTTGCTGACGTACGACTCCAGCTTGTAGCTGTCCCAGACAAGATTGAAACCCTGAAAAAAAAAAGCCAGTCATACGACGCATAGGAGAACTTAAATTGAAGCATACAGTACTCAGATCTAGAAATAACATGGCAAAGGGGTGCTATACCTAAAATGTGTGATTCTGCGAATCAGAGAGCAGAAAACTTATAATCGTTTATCATTCATGCAACAGATTTGTTCTTCGTACAGAATTGCATTTAAGTAAGTAATCCCGGTTGAAACCAAAGAATATGAGGAATTCATACACAGTACAATCAATAAGTTTAAAAACCCGAATGCTTCTATTTTTAAAGCGTTGAAGAACTATATTCAATTCCTCATGTTGCGTGACAAATTGACAAATCCTACACAAGTTGAACAGACAGTACTCGCAGGGATTGTATGCTGCATTAGTAAAAAGTCGAGCTGCAGAATAAAGATACGGCATATTAATCGGAAAAACGGCACTGAAATTAGTGAAATAAATGCTGGTGACGCGAAAAATATTAAGGCCTCTCTTCGGAATAGATAGATACAAATGAAAGTGAGGTCGTAACCGTTTCTCGTACAAAAAGTTACGCGTCCAGCAAGATTCTAACCCATGGGTTTTGAAAGGAAAAAAAAACCGAGACAAAAATCGGAGCAGTTTATCGGAGAAAAATGTTCTAGCAGAGAATTTACCTCATCTAATGCAGCTTGAACTTCCACGTGCAGTCCAGCGACCAAAAGCTTAATATTGGCCTTTTCTTCGATCTTCTTCACAGTTCTTTCGTAGGAAAGCACGCTTTCAGTCAGAGAAATCGCAAACGGATACAACTGATTCGCATGATGAGCCTTGTTAACGATAGCAAGAGGGACCCTGAATCCAAGGTTCTTCAGATGACGGACTTCTTTCGATAAGGTGATTATTTCCGAATGGAAATTCACTCGAAGCTTGTAAACGGACTTCGGGGCAGACGGCGTTCCCGGGCCAACACGACCCCCACGGGCTACATCAACTACGAATGTTTTCCCAACGATTCCCAGGTTTCGTTGCTGGACGATCTTCGTCCAATCCTCGAAAATTTCCTTGGTGTCAAGTTTGATTCTGAAGCTGTCACCGTCTGCTTTCAGCTTTTGACCATCAATATGATTTTCCCAGCCTTTTCCTGTAAAAAAAATATGAATAAACGCAAGTTTAATGATTAATCCAAGATGGTGCTATTTGGATGCGAGATTCATGTGGGGTTTGGTCGTGAAATAGTAAATGGGCTGACGGAAGAACACAGTGCTGTAGTTCCTTAGCCACGACTTACCCAATACATCTTCAACTCGTTTCAGGAAACCACTCAACTGCCTGTCGATCTGTTTAGCCCAAATGATGGATCCTGACACAGGCGGGATGTCTCTCACGTGGCTCAACTGTGATGCACTGCTCATAGGATATCCAGCCTTCAATGAAATAAGGTTGGGGGGGGAGGGGATCTAGATCGACTTTCTCAAGCTTCGTTGGATAAATCGTGATACCTTGAACTTTTCGTGCAACGCTTCGATGTCATCTTTGACACGCTGGATCAGCTGACTCTGATACTCCCTGATGGCACCGCGAATGTGTGGCCTGATGAACAAGGCGTTGAACCTAGAGAAGATCCTGAACATCTCGTTGGCATTTTTCGCAGTGCCCAACTGGTCCCGGAGTCGAGCTGTGATTCTTGTCTCCACACGATCAATTCGCTCATCATACCGACGCATAGCTGCATCCCACATTTCCGTGCCTTCCTTACTGATGTCCAGGCTATCCACTTCTTTAACATGTTCATAGGCCAGCTCCACTTCCTAAAAATACATGTAACATCCCCAGTTATTGACAAGAATTCACTTCTGTTGCGAAACAAAGCCAAAAACCTGGGTTTCTATCAAAAAAATTCAAAATTTTAAACGCTGAACCAACAACGTATGCAATCCAATATTGGATATACGACGTCCAATTTCTATCGTATTTTTCTATGATGGTATTTCATAGAATTGATGCCGTCTCAGATTCACTTGCAAAATGCTAGCTCCCGGGGTCGCCAAAAATATGCACGAAATCGAATGTTCAACAAGTTCAGTATCTCTAGCCTCTGATCATATTCCTAGCAACGAATACAAGTTCTAGACCCTAAAAGAATTTAAAATCGAAATCTCCAACTGCACGGACGCATCTGGCAAGAATTTTGCTCGAATATGATTTTTCAAAGTTAAACGTTAGACATAGTTATTATTCAGAAGGCTGTTTTCACTTGGAATGAACTAAACAGGGACTTTTCTTGTGATCTGTCTTTGGAATACATCGCGCTGATGAAATATTTCCATCAAATATTTGGGGTGCGTTGCCTTCCCCCGGTACAGCACAGTTTCTGGGACATCGTGAAACAAGCACGTCTTAAATTCGCTGAAACGTTTTTTCAGGAGAGGGTGAGAAATTCAGGGGCGGTTCGGAGTTGTTGGCGTCTTAAATTTGAGTTAAAATGGCGTCAACTTTTGACATGACAAACCTGGATCGCGTTTGCATCAGCAACATCCTGAGATTCCACTTTTGGCTCAGCTCCAGAGGTCCGTAAAGTACCCGCTTCTTGGTTCTGCGGCGTGGCTGCGGGGCGTAGAACCCTTGAAATCACTTTTCTCAGCTCTTCATGATGAACCCTGAACTTTCTCATCTTATCCATCCTTGCCTGGAAAACAGAGCCACGTTTTGACCAACAACTCTCTAAAATTCCTTTGAAAAATCCCAGACCTGAAGGTGCTTGTGGGCGGGTGAAATCCTCCATGTCATCTTTACGGAGTCCTCGCGCTTTTTCTTCACCAGGTCTCTAAGAAGGTTCTGAACCCTTTCGTACTCGTCATCCCACGTAACGAAAACGTCGAAACACGAGCCGATAACTTTCTCGAATTCCTCAAACGAAATGTGCGTCAACCTCCTCGTTCCTAACACCTAAATCGAGTCAATTAAAAAGTTGAACAGCATAAATTCGTAAATCATTCAAAATTTCAAGAAAAAACCTTGAGCATTTGAGCACAAAGATCCCGAGAAACAGCTTCGATCAGCCGGAGAGCCCGCACAGTTGGATACTTCGTGTTACGAATCTTTTTCAGATGCGCAAAAATTCCTCTGAGGGCGATTCTGATTTGATCTAAGTCCGAGGCCGCCAAAAGGTCCTGAATCGGGAAGTCCTTCATGAGGAAGTTGTAGTCATTGACAGTGAGAACAGCTTGTTTCAGCCCCGTGTCAGTGTCGAAAGACACTGTCGCGTGGAACCGTTTCCCATGTTTGAGGAGTTCCAGGGTTAGGCCGACTTCAGCTCCTTCTCTTTTTTCCACGATTCTTTGCAGCGCTCTTTCCAGATTCAGCCAGAAGCTCACTTCTTGAAGCGTAGAACCACTTGCTGGGTCTCGATCCAATCTGGTCACCTAAAATTTGAACAAGACCTCGTTAGACGATGGAGAACCATAATCTACCAAGAGTTCGAGATGTGTCACGTACTTTCTGTATTTCACGTATCCACCGGTTTACCCCCGTCTGCAGCTGGTTCAAAAAAGTGGTATCCTCAGTTTTGTCCCCGAAGTCGGTTACTTTTGGCTTTGTTCCCATTTCAGCACACTGCTTCATAACTTGAGCAACCAAGGGGTGTATCTGCAATGTCACTTCCGGAATGTCAATGTTCTGTTGCAGGTGTAGCAGGCCCATCTCAAGCTCAGATATCTGCTTTTCAACCGTTTGTGCCATTTTGTCTCCATCTCTTTCTCCTTTACCTGAGGCCTAGAAATAAGCATCGTCGTAAATTTCACAACATGTGGCCCGATGGAAATGGCAATTCCGTTAACATTGGTTGATTTTCAATTCAATACTTGACAGCATTCTGGAATTTCAGGGATTCGTTGCCTGATCAAAAGAATCCTAACGTGCAGTAATTTAACCTCAACGAAATCAACATAGCCCATCCTGATTCAAGCCTACAACCAGTGAATAGGTTTGACATTTTAGCAAATCTCACAATGACCAAGAGATCCAAGATATAGGGTCGTGATGCATTGAAGTAAAAAGAAACATGAATATCGTACAGTATTTCTATTGAAATTCAATGAATCCATACCGATCAAAAGATTGACAAACATGGATATAGAAGCGAAGATCTTGCGAAATTTGTACGAACTATCACGCTCAAGAAATCGAGGTCAAGGTATTTATACTCTCAAAATGACGCTCAGAGTAACACTGGTTTTTCCACGAACAAACCTTCACATCAACATCCTTGAAGCCAAATTGACACAAAAATTATTGTTGAAGTTTTGCTTCTTCAGTGCATCCTTGAACAGATGTTCAAAACACTGGGGAAACCGCCCACGGTAAGAAACTCGGATAAAAGCTCAATTGAACGCTGCAAGGCCGTCACGAACGATTCATAAGCATAAGTCACGATCGCGCAACTTCTATTTGACAAGAGAATTATTTGCCATCTTTCTTCAGAGTTTCTTTGATACCCTTTCGAAAAAATTCTTCTTACTTTCACGTAGGACTTGAAATAGGGTCCCATGGAGGCAGAGACCAAGGAATGCAATGCGATGTATGGTGAACCATCGCTCAACGTTACGACCCTGACTTGGGTGGAAATGCTCTTATCCGCTTCCAGTAAAGTTGCTCGTTTAATGAACACCACGCTGAAAAAAAAGGATAACACAAATATTAAAAATGTCCACCTCCGACGCATTCCATTTTGACGAAGCTGAATACCTGCACATCTTCGCAGACGTGAAGTGAACATCATTGGAAATGAAGAACTGCACATCGTCGTCCACTTCAGAGTTGCTCTGATCACTGTCATCTTCCGCTGAAAGCAGACAGTAAATAGAGTAGTACATTCAAACCCCATCACCAAATGAGACACTGCTGTTTGAACTACAGTATCAGTGTTCTTGCCTGATCTACACAGATTTATTAAAATTATACGATGGGTCTAGCAAAAGTTTGCGGAATAGAAATTAAAATGGTTGAGCTGAAAATAATTTATTCTTTAGGGAAAACATATTCTTTGGCACACAAAAAAATCAGCCCTGTTTGACACATTCCTTTGAATGTTTTGAAAAAGTAACCGTGGCAGAGCAAGGGTGACTAGCACCTTCACAGCCAATCAAATGTGATGCCTTCACAGCCACCACATTTGATTGGCAGCTGTTGATGAAAATTACCTTGGAAGACCTGGAGGCAACCCTTGGAATGCAACCCTTGCCACCTTGATTTCAAGAATTCTGAGGAGAAAGCTGGGCTACAACAACAAAATCTGCAGGAAGGGCACCTCATCTTTTGAGTGGAGAGCAGAACTCTGCCAGGGTTACTTTTGCAAAACATTAAAAAAAATTTCAAACAGGGCTGATTTTTTTCGTGCCAAAGAATATGTTTTCCCTAAAGAATAATTTTTTTTATCTCTATTCCCAGAACCTTTGGTAGACCCCTTGTATGAATCAAAAACAATTTTCACGCAGTCTGACACAGGTCATGGAAGAAAACTTGGTGCCATTTTAGCATATGTGCAACCGCAAAAAGTCTGCCCTAGCACACGGTCAACCAGTAATTCAGCTCTGCTACGGCGACTCTTGAATAAAGCTTCAAGAACACTCCCACAAAACCACATTTTCACATCTCAGTACAAAAATGTGCATACAATCTTCAATTCAGCACAAATAAATGCTTGAGAACATCCAGTAGAAATTCGAAGAGCAACAGAGAGCTGCAGGTGTGGTACTTCAACAAATAATCTTGGATTCTCAATCCTTCAGCAAAAATCCATCACTAAAATTATTCTCTCTTGTAAAATTTGCTCATTAATCAGTGCATAATAACTGGAAAAATGAGATAAAATTTTCGAAGGACTGGGTTTTACTGACAAGAAGTTGAAAAAAAATGCTAGATCACAGGAAATACCAGTAGACAATGCTGAAAGGGAAAATTTTCTCCACAAAATTGTTTCCAAAATAAAAAACACAACTTCAAATTTAACATTTATTTTCCAGGACTAATACAAAATCAATAATTGCAAATCCGACCAAAACACCAACGCTCTATCTATCACAAAAATTTTCTCATGGAGCCTAATTTTCATCAACAAAAATACCCAACTATTTAACATTTTGCCATGAAGTTTTTAGAATTTCATGAAGTATTGTGAACCTCTGAAAAAATGCCAATATTTCCTTCATTTTTTCAGTTCGAATTATTGCTTGCTAATACAGTACATACTTAACACCCAGTCATGAATGTGAACGAAAGTAATTCTTAATTCAAAGATTAGTCGGACATGTTCTACGGGTCATACACTGATTAGAATAATTAAGAGTGGAGCACAGTCGGGCGCACAATAGGAGCGCAGGAAATTTTAAATTGAACACTGAAAAAATCGGCATACGACAGAAACATATGCAGGTGAACAGAATGCCACGGTAATCTGGAAGGGGACAGGCAATTTAAAGTTACGTTTCCATCACTGGAACGCACTGGGCCATGCGGTCACAAGGTATTTTCAGTACTTCCTAATTAATTCCCCACCACTATGTGAACGAAATTACGAAAGCGAATGAATACACCAAATCGGCCAATAGATCGCAGAACTCCATCAATAACCCATTCCTTAAAGAGATAAAGTAGTGTAGCGTGCCTACATGAAAGATACCGAAAGTCGGTTTCAGGCTTTAGAGATAAAAAGGTTAAAAAGATGACGAATGGCATCAATCTTTCGCGATGGACAAGATTTCACAGCGGGAAAGATAAAAAGATATTAAAATAATCTCTCCGTGCGCTAATAGATTGGGCAAGTGAACTCACTCCTCACGGTGCTCTTTTCAACGAATAGCGTCGGCACCTGGGCATCGGAAACGAACTTCTGTATACAGTCCACCGCTCTGGGATCTTCGAAGACCGCTTCCAGCTCTGAAAAGGTGTTCGTACAACCAGGCTGTTCAGATTTGAAACCTGAAGAATAACCCAACCTTTCGGAGCGGCGATTTCTTCCCCAAGAATCGAAAGGGTGATACCCTTCACGTACGAGATCAGCGCGGGAAGTTCAACTAACGCCGGAGCTGGGGCTTCTGGAGCCACAGTGGCGGAAACTTCCACGCCTGAGTCCATCGTGTCGCTCATTTTTCGGGTCGAGTATCCCCCGTAATTCCCGTCAGAAGGTGGGATTTCCAAACACGAACATATTCATCTGATCACTGCACCGTCGTCAACGAAATCGCGTAGGCTGGACGCGGAGTCCTCGCCAAGCTTTGAATATCACGTTGTCTCGAGGCTAAAACTGTTCTTCAAGAAGAAATTGTTTGCTAGCACCACAAAATTTCGAATCTGTAGACCACGGAAGACATTGACACACCCAGGCTATAATAGGATACTCATGGCTTTGAAATGAACGTTAACCATCGGCAATTCAGCGGGAAAGAAACAAATGGAAGACGAATGATATGATAAAAAGGACTCAAATTGACATGAACAGAAACCACAAAAATTCGAGCGCACTCTTACAACAGTCTAGTTTTCGAAGTACAGTACCAAAACGTAGAATAGTCTCTCGGTATTGCATGCGGACCTAATGATGCATAACTTCGCAGAATAAAACCAGAGAAATTCGCTGAGTGAGAGCGTCGAAAGAAGCTGAAACTATGAGCAGAAGATGTCTTGAGAGGGCACAATTACATGAGCGACACGGTGGAATACAGTACTTCCTTACACCATTACACAACGTCGTCCGCACCGGCAAACGAATTTTGCGAGACACGGCGAACATCCCACAGTTGACGAGCGCTACAACCTTATCGCATCGATTACTCAACGATTTCCCAACAAAAATGGATTCAACCAGTTTCCTTATGATTCATTCACTGCCAGAACCGACAATTAAATAGTACAATCGAATGACCTGGCTGATTCTCCTGCAGGAGGCAGAAGAGATAGCCACACCGGTATGGAAATGATCGTCTAGTTTTACTGCAATCGCCATATGATTCTTCACAAGTTCACTACGGTCGTATGTGACTTGAAGGTGGGAAAAGTGAACAACGGAAAGATATTTCAATAGAGAACAGAGTCCTGTTCCCGTCTCCTATTATTTTTAGAGAACCCCTATATATGCGCCTATGAAATAAAGGTATCCCCTATATGTGACTTTAAAAAAAGTACTGCAAATAAATTATCATGTAGAGATAATAGAGGAGCTATCCTAGTCGTTGAGATAATCTACCTGTCAACCCCTGTGGCTTCGCATTACAGTACAGTACTGTACTCAGCTGATGTTCTTTTTTGAAAGGTTTGGGAAGTTGAACAACCGTATCATACTGCATGTATATACATTCCGCACCATATCTGATGCTCTTAATCTGTATACGAAGGCATGTTGCAAAACATGAGGAAAAGTTACATTTTGCCTGATGATTGCGGAACCAGCAAGCCAAGTTTTCCCTTGCTGTTGCATGCAATTCCAATACATGTATGCATAATAGTGCGAAGCACTATACAGTATATTCTTGCCAAAAATACATTTTCTGAGTGATCCAGATTAGCAATATGATCTTTAGAATCTTCACTATACTGTACATGATACTTACGTCTGGAAATAACATGAGACTTCATGCATGCTTCGACGACAACCCGTTAATTGGCAATGGCCATCACCGTCACTTCGTCTTGCCGATAGGATCAGTTATTTCGAGAGACCATCACAATTTCCAAAGGGTTTCCATTTGATACAAAGAAAGCACTGGATTACCTGCTGGATCAACACAGTGCTAAAAACGCAACTTCCTGGCTAGCTTTCTTCTCAAAGGAATTCTCTACATTTTATAGCATCAGTTGAATTTTGACCCTGAATTGAATTGTGTGATCTATAGGATACATGACCAATGAAGTTAGTAAATGTCAGGTGATTTTTGCCCTGATTCTTCCTAATCTTCCACACTACTTCAAAAGATAACAGCAAATAAAGGTGACTGCCATATGTCACATATAATTAAAATTATTCAACCTTGCATTTCATATGCATATGAACCTCCCATGCAATGCCATACATTTAAATGATTTTGCTTGGCTCTATATGGAATAACCTCTTTGTACACCTTTTTCATAACCTGATTTGCGCTGGGTTGCATGATAAATTCATTGCAGTGAACCCTATTCATAACACAAGGAGATAATCCGATTTAGTGGGACCAAAAATAGTGATTTGCTGTAAAGCGGAGAAAATTGTTGATATTGTCATAAAGTACAATGTATGCAGGTGGAAAAAGAAGAGCTTCGAAAACCACTTTTCAAAAGAATTGTAGCTTTATCAGATAATTTTAGCTGCGGTGAGAGCAAATACAGAATTAACATAGAAAATCCATGATGAAAAAATTTCAATGCCAATATAATGATACGGTATTTTAGTGGGACATAGTAGGTCTCACATGAGGGTTGGTCCGCTGGAGTCAGACGGCAAAAATAACTTTCGTATCAGCTAGCACGCAAAATTTCCATTCATCAGAAGATCACAGGAAGCAGTATACCAACTCAGCACAATGACTATAATAAGATCTTCAGTTTGAGATTACGTCTTTGCAAGAGCACAGGAATTTGGGGTCCGCTGAAGTGTCGATATCACGAAGTACAGTATCATGTTAGTCGCACCAACAATGAGGCATGAAACAAAGTTTTTTATTCCAGCCAAGCAGAACACTCCTTGAAACCGATCAAACCACGATATCTCAGAGGACGCAGGAACCATCCAACAAAATCCATTCACACTCAGAGCTCGAAAACATATCCGTCGACTGAAACGGCAGTCCATGAAATATAAAATCCTGACTAAGTGAATCCTAACCAACCCGCCTCTCAAGACTCTAGCTGAAACAATTCCGTTTCCATCTTCAACGACAGAAATCCCAGACAACACAGCTGACCATTCAATTCCCGGCAACTTCTCCAATTTTCCTCGGATCAAACACAGGATTCCAACCTTGAGGTGTTTTCGCGATACTCACAACACTTGCAAACCCTTCGGAACCGTTCACCTTATGTCCGATCATTCTCATACCCAGCAAAATATCCTACAAACAAAATCGTTTAAATCCGCAGGGAATCAGGATTCAAATTAGTTTTCAATACCTCTGGAAAATTTTTTTCCGCGGTGATCTCCATGGGAAATAGCTGGTGATGAAACCTCGCAGCCGCCGTGGAATCCATCAAAGTTTCACTGAACATCAAGTTCAGCATTGAAACCTGGAATGAAAAACGTCAGTTGTGTTATGAAAGTGCAAGGGGAAAAAATCAGCGATTACTAAAGGATTCAACATACAAGAGGGAAGAATCAATCATTTACTTACCTTGAACATCCGCAACTAGCTCTTTTGATAATTACAGTGCTCATGCTTTTTGCTGATTAGCCAAATCCTTGGAAATTGGGGGCTCTTCAAGAAGTCTAGGAATAACCCATGATGAGAAAAAACCCACTCCCGAAATTTACGAGTTTTTTCGCTTTGAACGCCATGATTTTATTTCGTCTGACAGATCAGCAGTTGATGAATAACGCTGGAATTTTCCTTGAAAAGGCACAATGATATATTCTTTTTTTCACGGACCCTGAAAACTTGATGGAATGAAAGGATTCTCTACCCGTTCTTCTGACCAGATTTTACTCTTTTTCACTGCCCAAAATACCAGTGTATCGTGTCTAGTAAATCACCCAGTAGATTATTTCAGGACTGACACGCGTTCCAGGAAAAGTTCAGTTGTTGAATACTTACCCACGCTACAGCAGTCGTGATTTTAGTTCCTCCTGCAGCCCCGGTCACAAGCCTGACTTCCTGAGTAGTTCTATCCACGAAAACTGCTGGACACATGGAAGATAAAGGTCGCTTCTGAGGCTTGATGAAATTATTCGGAGAAGGGGGGATCCCAAAGGCATTCGTGATGTTTGGTGCGGAGAAGTCATCCATCTCGTCGTTCAAGATTATTCCCGTCAATGGTGACCTTATCTTTGCTCCGAAACTATATTAAAACAAAATCAAAACTTCAAATACATGTAGAAAAATGTGACGTCTCCCGGATGTAGGCTATTTCATAGAAAGCATTCAAGAACAATGAAGCGAAGATTAAGAAATCAATGCAGCGAGGCTTAAATTCGCGAACTGCCAAGTCCTTCTACTTTTTGTCAAATACAGTCGAACGTCTGGAAGTCGAAGTTCAAGGGAGAAGCCAAAAATCCGAGTTAGAGAAATAAGCATTTTGTTGAGGGGAACGAAGAATTACAGGAAATTGTAATTGGTGATTATATGGGCCCTAAATTGCTTCTTGAATGAGTTGACAGGATGCTGAAGTTGGAGGCAAGGGTTCATTCACCCGAATCGTCTTCCACGTCCTTTCAAAACACAATTCCATTGCTTTTCTCTTTCCTGCGTCGATAAAATATTAGCAGAAAGGCCGCCAGCAAATTCGAGTTACAGAGGTTCGAGCGGGAAAAGCCTTCTAGTTAGGGAAGTTTCCAATTCTTTGTTTCCAAGGGAATTCAGACTCGGACTTGAAAAAAATTCCGACCTACGGAGGTTCAAGTAATCGAGGTTCAACTAGATTTGGTTGAACTCAGCTTCGAACTCGAAACTGAGAACATTGGTGGCCAAACATATAAACTTTGATGTTGTTATTTGGCGGGCCTCCTATAGGAAAGTAGAAAACCCCCTCCCTTTCAATTCATCATGCTTTCACGAAGTGAAGAAGAAAGCTGTCGAAGATATTGCATTGTCACTATGAGCACTTCTAATCCCAATTTTGAAGACCACCCATCATGCTATATTCAGTAAAGGTGACGGTCAGAAATCAAACCGGAAAAGAAAAAAAGCGTTCAAAAGCGAAATTCAATGCGAAAAATGAATACGGTACAATAAAGTACACTCCAGTCAAACCCCGTTAAGATCTTTAAAAGAAAATTCATTAAAAAAACAAAACACCAACTCAAAGATGACAAAAGTTATTTCTTAGGAACATTAGCGCGTTACGCATTCCATGGTTACTTTCCAGAAGAATGATAATTTCATTTCCTATTACACGTGGTTTTCATATGATTTTAGTCTTTCAATAGACCACCAACTCCCTCTGAACCGCCAGCAACCTCACAAACAAACCGTGGCGGCTTATAGAGGTTCGACTGTATCAAGACTCTTGCCGAACATGAGATCAATGAAAATTGACGAACACACATCGCACGAAAAAAGGCAACTTCCCGGAGAAAGCGCCGCGACTTACTACAAGTTTATGGTGCTCGTCGCAGCCACAGCACTGCCATCGGCACTCGTGACGGACACATGCGCTGTTCCATGATCATCTGGTGAGTAGAGATCCGCTCCATAGTAATCCGGATCCGAGAATGTCATGTTGTCCCTGATCAGCCCTTTCACATAGTCCGCAAACCCTTCACTCGTGATGTTTCTCAGCATTTCCTGAAACAAGGCGTTGTCCTGAAGAAACTCCGGGTCTCCCATCAAAGTCCGTTTCCCGTAGGTGTGCTTGAAGGCCTCTATGATTCTCTGCGCGGTGGTGATTCTGTCAGATGCATTCCATTCAGAAAATGGCTTCGAATCGTTCGGCGTGCCGAACGATTCCACCACATTCAGGATAAAGCCCATGAGTGGACCAGAACTTGGTGCAGGGGTTGTATGGAGATCAAGGTTCAAGGAATTGATTCTCACAGAGAACGGCGTGTACCACTTCGCCCTGTGGAAAAATATGTGTTAACAGTCAACTTGAATGACAAAGGATCTTTCCTCACATTAGATTTGCACAGCATGCTTCAAATTCGAACCTCTAAGCTCTTCTCAGGCATAAATTCTGTTCAAGAATACCTTTCGAACTTCTAAGTCAACCTTCAAGAAAATCTATGACCTGAATGAAAATACCATAATTTTGTCATTCCTTTTTGAGGGATACGGCTAATTCCAGACTGGAGAAATCAAGACAGACGACTTTCGAACGACAAGACCAGTTCATTAGAACAGGGTCAACTCCAGATAGGGTAAATTCAAGACATGGCCAGTTCAGAACAGGGTCAATTCAGGACAGCATCATTCAGACGCAAAAACTCTTTACAAGCTTCATATAGAAGCCAAACAAGGTAGAAACTATTGTTGAAATTCTCATTCCTTTTTCCACCTTGTCAGAAAAATTTGCTTTTGCCTTACATACCTATCAAAACTGAAATAAATAATAATGTGGAGAGTTCTGATCAGTTCAAACGCATAACAAAAAAAAAAAAAATTATAGCCATGGAAGAAGTTACTTTGCTTACATGTACAGTATATAACCCAAATTGCTTAGCAATAATTCATGCATCTAATTTCTCTGTCTCCTGCTATGAAGTAATTGATGTCTTTGAATGGATTTGGGCTGGGTGGGGAGGGGGTTTGGATGTGGAAAGCTTGATTGAACCTTGTGAACGCTGAAAAGCAGAAAATAAAGCGTTGTGTTCATCCATTCAATAATTCAATTGTACTGCCACCTCATTTGTTCTCAAACATTTTTGGTCTGAAATCTGTCTTGATAGGTTCCAGGCAGTAATTGTACACCTCTTGAAATGCTTCTGTTTCAATTAGTCCCTTTCTCAAAAAGGTTCTGTCTTCAATACTCTCTGTCCGAAAATGTTTCTGTCTTCAATAGTCCCTACCTCAAATGTGTCTGCTAATGATGGCCTCTGTCTCGTGTTGTCTTTCTTGATTTGCGCTGGATCTCTCGTCTAAATCGCCCCTATAATGCTTCTACATTGAATTTGGTCAAGTTAACCATGACCAAGGTAAAAGGTTGGCTATGACTTCAGCGTTAAGCTCGGCCATGTGGGTTTTAGATTACGATATTTTACTTAAATTAAGTACCGTAACCTACGTTTTCATCTCTGCATTAAACAGAAAGTAAGGGAAAAAGAGAAATGAGGCACCGAAAAAGAGGAACCACGCCCTTCTAAATTATAATACTATACTCACTTGTACGCTTTCAAATCGGCCATGGAAATTATGCCACCAAATTTTTGTATGTCCTCAACAAGTTTGGCGCCAGTGATTCCCTGGTACAACTCATCAGCACCATGTTGAGCGATCTTCTTCAAGGTGACAGCCAAAACCGGGCGTTTGATCGTATCTCCTAACTCGTACACATTGTTCGTCTCCTCATTCCAAAATATCTCTCTGAAAGGACCCAAAAATGGTTTCATGCGGTCTCAACGATGCACACGAGACGGAACTGTATACCGTAATGTGGGTTCGTCACGGATTTCTCGGCGTTTGCTCTTCATGGCATCAGCCAGAGGTTTCTGCACAACCATGCCTTCTTCACACATTTGAATTGCGGGTTGGAAGAGTCGAGTCCAGTTCAGCTTGCCGAACTTCTGGTGAGCTTCCCAGTAGCCCATGATCTCACCAGGTACAGCAACAGCTAAGCCTCCTGCAACCGAAAATTTTGTGGTAGAACTCCAGAAAACCTCTTCCCGTACTTTGAACTACGAATTTTCAAAAAAACAAAACAAAAAGCTCAAGAACATCCCGACATTCACAGTGTTCTATACGGAGGGTGTCATCCTTTTGAATCAAAGAGACCTTCATGGAATCAATCGCTGATGGCAGGGCACACTCCGAAAATGTGTTAGAATCTACTTTGATCTTTAGGTTACGGACATAGGATGGCAGTCCTTCGAAGACACAATCATTTTGGATCTGTCACAAATCTTTTACATACATGAGCGCAAATACGGTAATTCGACTCAATTTCTGATGCTTTCATTTCTTTTCTTTTAAATTTTCATTTAAAAGAAAAGCAGTGGAACCTACATTTTAATGCATCCAAAAATGTCCTGAAAAATGTTTCAACAATCCCCAGTGAACAATGAGCATGGCATCTCAGTCTTCGGGGAACCAAAAATCAGTCAACTGATTTTCGAAAAATCGCACTATCAAAATTTGGTGCATATATCGAATGAAACAATACTGTGGTGTAAGTTGGCAATAACTAAAATTATAATTTATTCACTTGCCTTTCCAATAGTTTTAAGAAGGACCAAGCTTGATATTAGAGTGAACATTTTTCAATTTTCCTTCTCTTCTTTTCAATATCTGCTTTCCCCAAGTTTTAAATACAGTATAATAGAAAATCACGGAATGCGGCAAACTATCAGTTTGAAGCCATTCAGGGAAAACAAAAAACCAAATGTTGACATGGACTTTCTTCTGGACAGCTCGCCCAATAAATTATTCCTCATTTTAAAATACTCTACTTGAACTCTTGAACAAAAAACTTGGAGTGACACACAAAGAAAATAGTTTGTTTGAGTAGGGAAACCAGCATTTCTGCAAAAAAAAAAAAACAACCAATCAAGGATTACAGAAGGGTAAACTTGGTGATACGCTATGCCTTGAACTGCTGGATAAATGAGATGCAAGGATTCTGAACTTGGAGACAAGAGTACGTTAGCCCCATGAGTCACTCATTTCCTTAAAAAAAAAAAAAAAAGTTACATTTTCATTGATTCCTCTGTCCTGGTTTCTCAGAATAAAAGCTCGAAGGCCTCCGAAATTTCACTGGGGGAGGTTTTTGACTAAGGGATGCCCAACTGTAACTATATCATTTGAACCTAATATGAAGTAGAGAACTGCCATAGAAATCACGTGGCAACACTTTCAGTCACACGGGGTAAATTGAAGGAATTTTCAGTTTGACACGATATTCCAACCCATTCACAAGATATCATCATTCAAAAAAAACAGGTGCAATTTTCCAATTTAGTCTAATCCCTTATATCCCATCACATCTCTCAAATAACCTAAAATACTTGTAATCAACTTGACACTGACCTGTTACGGACAGCGTTCCATTTCCCCCAAACATGTCCTCAGTGGCTGCCAAAGGAGCCCACTCACGAGCAATTAACGCATGCGCAGTTTTTGTCACGCCATCCCAGATGGTCATGACGAAACCACCACCAATGCCCATGCTATGTGCATTGGATAACCCATTGCACAACAGTGCTGTAATCACCGCATCCACAGCTGATCCACCTTCATCCAGCACTTCCCTGGAAGAAAATTCAAAGCATTTTAATCTGCTCAATGCTTGTCAATCAGGGTCCATGATGCACAGCATAAAGTGAACATAGAAACAGGCGAATCAATAAAAAAAAAAAACTGCTGCAATGGAAACGGTGCCCAGGTTGAGGAGCAATTCGTCCGGTAATCACACAACTGGTAAACACGGGGGTCACAACTGGTGCCCATGGGGTAGGTGCAATTTTGCCGCCATTCCGTGGATACATTTGGTGCATGGGGTTTATTAGGACAATTAGGTATTGTACTTCATAATGTTAGTGTGCATTTGGTATACATCTGCAGGGTTACAGATGTACCCCAAGTATGAAAACACAGCCAGTGCACATTTGGAATACACATGTGCATAACAAAAATTGGTATACTTGAGGTGCACAGTGGTAGCCGAAGAATTCACCAATTTCCCTACTCCGGTGGTTACACAGGTAACTAAACAAGGCTTATCCGGGTTGAAGAAATAGAAACTACGGTTTCAAAGAGGACCATGATCCTTTCATTAGGCAGCTGTTTTTACAAAGCATGAATCCCACTCAAATTTTTAAGTGCGCGCAATCAAATTTCCCGAACATGTATTTAAATGGCAATACGAGAAACTTGCATTTGCTTTTTCATGGAAAATATGCACACTTGAGAAATCCAGGTACAGTGAGACCCCAAGATGCAGACATAATTGGTGCATCAAGAGTGTCCCCAAGTTGAGTCTTGTTTTCCCATAGACTTACATTATATAATTCTTAATTGGTGTTTTATGGAAGAAATATTCTTCAGTACATGTCTAATCGGTTCCGCCGGAAAACCCGTAGGCACGGTGTAATCAAATTCGAATACCGTGAGGGAGTGCGATAATTCAGTTTTCATCGTAAGTTTACATTTATCCTGACATTCATTTGAATTCTTTACATTTTCCTTCTCCTCTTGAAAAAAAATGCTGATCGGATATACAGTACAGTAAAATTATGCTAGGTGGTCTCTCGCTACAATAAAGTTATAAGCAATTGAAGAAAGAAAAAATTCGTTGTTGAAAGATTGCCATTGTAGAGATCCCCAGTAACAGGGGGATATAGTCCTGAGACAAAACGATTATTATTTATGCAGATAAAATTGTTGTAGAGGGAGTCTAGCACCTATACTGCTGTACTGTATATTCTTCATTTTTATTGACGGATTTTTGTCACTCATTTCTGTTTTTTTATTCTGTCGGGAATTTTAATTTAATTTGAAGAAAAAAAACGAAGAATCCCAGCGGCAGAATGAAACATTTCTTGCAGCAAAATGGCAGTGACTAAGGCGAAACTGCAAAGTTGAATTTTTACTGAGAACAAGATCAACTCAAATTTTTTTCTTTGAATATACAGTGAGACCCCAAGATGCGGACATAATTGGTGAATCAAGAGTGTCCCTAAGTTGAGTCTTGTTTTCCCATAGACTTACATTACAGTATATAATTTTAATTGGTGTTTCATGGGAGAAATATTCTTCAGAATTCTCTGAAAAAAATTGTTTGCCACTTTAATTTGAATTAGTGAATACATTTTCAACTCAAGAAGAACATTTGGAGCATTGAATAGTGTATCTCTGTACTGTACACAAAAATTTTGGCATCTACAAAAATAACATTCTAGTGAAAAAGTAGAAGTCCCTCTATGCTGGAGGTAATTTTTTTATTAACTAAATATGGATGGTAATTTGGTGAGAGAAATGCCCAAGAACTCTTCTTACATCAATTTTAGGGATGTAAATATCTGTTTCTGGTATTTTGGCCTGAAATTTATTTGCAATTTTATCACAAAATGTCCCTATGTCAAGTCAGTGTCCTCATGTTGGGCCTTATTTATTGATTTTTTCTGGGGAAATAAGTGTCCCTATGTTGAATTGTCTGCAGGTTGAGGTGTCCGCATGTGGGGGTCTCACTGTATAGGGTACTTGAAATCAATGGCGTGCTTTGAGAGAGTGAGTAAACAATATTAGAAATACTGGTCGCGACTAAAAACTTCTTTGTTTAAAATAACTTGCTATGTTTTCACTGTTCCTCTCTGAAACAAATGCCCATGGAAGCTCTGCTATTTTTTTTCAAATCTTATGGTTCATAATTTTGCATGCACCAAAATCGAGCGAATATTGATCTGCCTAAAATGTATTTCAAATTCTTGAAGATAGGTCGATGACGGCCGTTACTTTTCATGGATAGCAGCATAACGTTGCTTTTCAGCGAAAAGGGGGCACTGTTCTTTTGAACTGTGTCATCCCCTTGAAAAAGGAAAAATTTTCTCAGGATCATGGCTGAGACCCAATGCTACACCAACCACGCGGGTTAATAACCTTCAAGGACCATATATTCAAACTGAACGAAGTAGGACGCTGCTTGTCGCACAGGAATTATTTTTTAATTAGGCTGGGCAAGTTCAGGTAAAATTAGACTCAGTCACCTGAGGTTAGGTACAAATATTTATCATTGAATATTTTTCTGACGAAGAAGCATCAATTGAATCGTGATTTAAACTCAGGATAGCAAACTCGCACAGCAAAAGTGGAAGGGCACTTATAAAAATTTTCACATTCGAATCGTGAGATGTAGAATTTCCGAATTGATGCCTAATATGTAGGTACTGCAATTACAATGGCTTCCTGGAGAGTCTTGTGAGTAAACAAAAATCACCATCGGAGGCAGAAAATAACCTCTTCGATAATCTTGAGGGAATTCGTCTCCATACGGAGGAGAATGTACGGTCTTTGACAAATGTTCCCGAAGTTAACTTAAAGGGAGTAAGTGAAAGACCAACACATTTCATAATTCAAATCTTCCCGGGAATCTCCCGATTCAACTTGAATTTATTCTTATCATACTTCAACTGCTTCACGGGGTTCGAAAGATCTTGTAAAACCACTGAAGCAGCCAAATTTGCACCACAAAGCTCCTGTTCGGACCCCTTTCATGGGGAAAATCACGACTCAATCACGACAATTGCTACCTGAAAATTCCAAAACCGCCTGACATCATCGTGAAGAGATGAGGATGGTTCAAACCAAATTTCTCCGAGATATCCATAGAAAAAAAAAAACGACGAAAAACCAGGTGTCACGAAATCAATGGATGCACCACTTCCGGTTTCTACCTTAAATTCTTCGCAGCTTCCACAGGTTCAAATACTTTTATAAGATAAATATACAGCACAGGAAGTCATTGAGAGAGATTAGTCAATTGCACCCATCTTGACGAAAGAACCCAATTGTGGGGCAACAGGGAAGAATTCCGAGAAATCTCTCGTGCCGTGCATTAATTCCTACCGGACGAACGGAAGCTGGGCTTTTTTTTAAATTTTATTTATTAATTTGTTGCAAGAAGTTGGGTAAACTCGCCACCCTAACATTGGCTACTGAACAACCTCCCATTACTGTATCAGAACTAGACGTCATGCATTTGAAAATGGTTGCGTTTCTATGGGTTAAGTTTCAAAAATATATAATTTCGGTATCAGAAGTATGAACAATCCTGTATCTGCATTTGGTGATTTCTCTCGGACGTGAATCACATACATTTTTAGCCCAGTAAATGCCGGCACGTTAGCACACGTGCGATATTTTCGAATCATCGAACGAAGGCCTATACTCACAGTAATGTAACTACTTGGTCATTGATCATACTGATCATATCCTGCATTCAGTCACAATGCATACGGTCTACGTTCCGTTTTACTGAATGAGAATCAAGTAATTTCACCTTACCCAACACATACATAACGAACACGAAGATCAAGAAAAGATAATCATTATAAAATGAACTTCTCATAACTAGACTATGGGTACCATAACAACTGCGCCTATCACGAACGACAGACACTCTTCGACACAGCTTGACGTAATTCAACATGTCACTGACTTCTACCCGTCGGCATTCTTCAATTATACTTCATTCCTTAAAAAACATTCCCACAACTCTCCGTGGATCGTGGACGCTTTGATGAGAAAATGCTGCCACCAAGCGAATTAAGAAGAAAAAATTCAGTGGGAATCGCAGGTCACAGTCGGAAAGAAAAATTGAAGCGGCGGGATAAAAATGTCCTATCAGTGGCTCACGCTCATGCAATAAGCCCGGACTGTACCAAACCAAGTTCACTCTCGACCATCGATCTATCGTACTATCTTCAGTGAACGTTGTGGCCCATTCACAAAAAGCATTCACACACTACAGTACTGTACTAACTTTCCATGACGAGCACAAGGAGCTGCATCGGCACTGACAGCAGCATTCGGGAAGAACTGCTGACGAAACCGACGAAGATTCAGCGATGTGTCGTCTTCTCCGGCGAAGTGATACACGACGGCAATGAAACTCCCAACGACCAGAATGCCTGCTCCCGTGTACCACACCCATTTTTTGTGTTTCTTGTAGCTGCAAGCACATCGACAATAGACGACAAAAATCACTGTGGGTATACTCTTCCTCACCTTCACCACACGCAATAACGAGAGTTAGTCAAGCCAACGATGTTAAGCGCACAGATTCAGATAAACAAAAAACGCACTTTCCGCGTTCCTGGTAGCCTAGAGGCGCGTACTCCACGGAAGAGAACATTCCGCACAAAAGCACAGGTTACGTCGGCTTGAAAAGTAATAAGGAACAGGAAGGACCGATTCACATACAGCGAAATTTATAGACAGCACAAACAACCAGTGGAAGACACACGAACCCTTCGCCCAAGAGCTTTGTGCATTCAACGCTTATTTTGTTCCGTCGTTCGAGTCCCAGGATTTTTCCGAAAGCAAACAATACGAAAATTTTCAGATATATACGAGAAATCTTACGCTTGAAAATCCGAGCATCGCTCGAAATTACGAAACAATTTTGACGAACACGCGTCCTTCATTTCGCCAACAGTCGTCTAACACCCAGGATAGAAGCTCAGAAAATTCGAAAATCTGTAGCTAGGAACTTCTTCCATCTTCCGTTTAAATTTTCAAATCATAAACCGCAGAGCAATCCATTAATTGAACCCATATGCCATATCTCGCACCCGGTTCGTGAGAACTCAACCTCGGTGAGAACGTACGTTCATCGATCGTCTGAACCCAAGTTTCGCACGCATCAGTTTAAGTTGGATACAAAAAAAAATTTCCACGCACAGTATCAACCAATCTTCCTATTAAAAAAATCGCTCGGCTTCAACTGGATCCGTCATGGATCCGTAAAATCTCAGTAACCGAAAGGAGCTTCCACGTGGTGTACATAAGAAAAGAACCGCTCAATTCAGACTACCACGAATATCGCCATATTCGGGACAGAGCCGCGTCAAAAAATCAAAGTACTGTACAGTACTAAACAGTAATACTGTACTGTACTGTATACCTTATGTGCTATACAGTACTGTATAGTATAGTAGCAGCCCAAAAACCTTTCAGTGCGTTTGCTGAGCTCTGGTGCTTGATTTGGAGGAATTCAGACCAAACCTGATGCTCCCAAGAAAAGTTAAAAACATCAAACCCCCCCAGTGCCTACCTTAAGGTTAGTGAGCTAGCTTTAAAAAGCACCCACAGGGTTCATCCCTGATTCCAAATGATTCCTAAATATTTTATTCCAAGAAAAGGCGCTTCAGTTCTAACTTTTGAATCATTGTTCATTTCAATGTTTTGAAATTTTAAAAGTACTGATTCATTCCAATTTTTTTATTCATAGGAATAATTCGGAATCAGGGATGAATAACCCTGTGGAACCCGGAGACAACTTCAGCAACAGCAAAAAAGGACGGCATAAAAACACTGCTTAGACTAGTTTATCGTTAGCCTGCCTTCAGACCTTCAGGCAGAAAATGAAAAAAAACAGAAAAACAGTTGTAATATCTCAAGGTAATGAGAAACATATCAAGAGTAGAAACTATAGGCTTTTAATGATTTTTTTAAGAGAAAAGAAAAAAAAATTGGCAATGAAAAAGTGCGTTTGGAAAACTGAGGAATGAACTTGGGTTTTCATTTATGGCAACCAAAATATAATCATTGAAAATTTTTGAAAATTACAAAACTGTAGAAAACATTGTTCTAAAACAATAAAATATTTTCAATTTTTTGACTATAATGAAACATTTCAAACAGCTTGCAATGCAGATGGAAAATGTTTGCCAAAACTGGAAAATTTTCACATATTTTCTTGCAGTAAATCTAAAAACTTTCAAAATATCTAAAGAAATCTCAGAACCTTACAATTGGATGGGCTAAATGGTTTAGTTTTTCAAAGTGGTTCTGGAAATACACAAGGTCTACCAGAAATGAGACAACCCTTGTATGTCCTAACTCCTAACTTTGGCTGAGCTCAAATGTAATACATGCTCCCACACACACATTTGTGAATGATATCCCTAACATTTTCCAAAAATTATCACTATGAAGATATAATATGCAAATAGAATCATGAGGCCAATAAATAAAATGTTATCATATAATTGAATGAATCTTAGATCATATGTTAAGAATAAATACCCCTATTTTCAGGGTGGCTTTCATGCATTTGCCCTGATTCTGCCTGCCAACAACCTGAACCAACTAGACCAAATCACTAACAATGTCTATGGTCAATTGTCATTCCTCCAATCCAGCCCAGTTTACATCTGTGTTTATTCTATGCATTGTCATGCACCTTTTCCACACATTCTGTGAATCTATAAAAGAGGGTCTGAACACTCTTTTGGCACTCATTGCGGGTCTGGTATCCATTTGCAACTGTTGACTTGGGATTGCATTATAGACACAGTTATATCTTTGTATTAGAGAAGTAGATTCATTCTTTGTTGCCCGAGCCATAATTCTATCAATACTTCTTGACATTAGTTTATCCTACCAATCAACCACCAAATTGAAGTAAAAAAGGCCAAAAGCACAGGAGACATTCAATGCATATTGTGGTTTATTTCAGCCTTTTTTGCAGTTGAGGATAACAAATTTGTTACAGCCTTGTTTTTCTCTTGACCAGGGGTGAGCATAGAGCAGGCCCAGCCCAACCTTGCATGCCACCCATGCGCAAACCCTTAATTTATGCCCCCATACATGAACAAATGTAATCAGAGAAAATACAAAATATAAATAATTCAATGCTTAGTATTTATTGGTTTAAAAAATGAAGATATGTATTTTGATCATATACAATGTTATTCATCATTTGTACATTCTATGACATAATAGCATATTCAACAGTAAAAACAGCATGGTTCAATACAAATGTAGCACAATGTCCATACAAAAAATACCAGCACCAAGATAAGGCATATTAGCACCAACTATAAGCATATTTGGTTCTATAGAATAACACTTTCTTGGCTTGTGCACTAGCAAACCTTGCAATGATATCATTTATGTCTAGTTCTTCAAGTTCATCATGCTCAATTGCATTCATTGATAAATTTGACAATTGCTCCTGTTTCATCTTGTTGATCTTGAGTAATTCTTTAGGATTTTCAATTTTGAAAATTTTCTTTTAGAAGATGCAACAGTTACTAGCAGAATCAAGAAAATTGTGATGGAAATTGCAGTACAGTATTGAGAAATTAATCAATAATATTATTATTGTAATTGAAATTCAGTACTTCTTTTGCTGACATTTTTCTCCAAAAAGACCTTTCAATGTTTTCAGCTCATCAAAAAGGGATTGACCAACTATGCTGTCATTGATCAACTTTTCCTATATTCTTTTGCAATCACCTAGGATTTCAACATCTGTCCAATCAGATAGCAGATTTGTCTGAAATAAAACTTTGGAAGTGATATTCTGGCACAACTCCATCTTGGAAAGAAATGTTGGTCTTGATGCATGCTCCTTCTTTTCAAAAATTTGTTTAATGAACTGGATAATGTTTGGCATAAAATGCCATCAGGAGCTTTTCTTTTCTTGTTTTTGGGCACCAGATACTTTCTTTGATACATATTCAGCCATCTGAAATGCACAGAAAATTATTTAAAGTTTTTATGTGATTATCCTGTAATTTGGGCTCCATAAGAAAATAAAACTAACATGTGTTTGAAAATGATGTTTGCCTGGGATTACTGTACATTTCTGCAACACAAAGAATTAAAGATGAGGAATTCCTGAGGATTGAAATTTGAGAGCTGGAAAAGGAAGTAAAAATGAAACAATTCAATCAGTCCATAAGACAATTAAGGCTGCACATTCCTGTGGGATTTCTGTTAAATATTTTATGAATTATTTATTTGTCTCAAAAATAAAAAGCTAAATTTTTCCACATTTTAAAAAGTTTTGGGAAAATTTTTTATCATAGAATTATTTTTTAACAGTATACAGAATAAAAATTCTTTGGAGCTGAATCCAGCTGCAAGAATAAGTTTGGTTCTGAATTTGTTACAGCAAATTAATATTGAACATTGCTGAAAATTTTCATTCATCAGCAGATTAGTTTTTAAGAAAAAATATTGCCACAATTATTAAATTAAGGCAGATGAAGCTGTGATTCTTTAATGATTGAAATGGAGGTGAGGATCATAGAAAATAAATTCATGAACTCATTTTTTACCACACAAATATTCCAGCTCCTGATTTTTTGAATGAATATGGAAATACCTCATTTAGTATACGTAGCATACCTATTCACATTGGATATAGCTTGTGAGTGCATAGCTAGATTTGAAGGTGACTGACTCACTCATGGCCCCAGTTTGAAACCCAGGAGCATCATCAGGACAGCAGATTCAAAGCAATGCAGCAGCAGCAAAGAATATTGTGAACAGAAAGCACACAGATGTAAGAAGAAAGGGGAAAGAGTACAACACAAAGAATAAGGCAATATGAAGAAGTAAATAGCAGCAAGGGAATGGGGGATTTATATTTTATTTTTTAAGGCTGTCAGACATTGGGGCAATGCCATTGGCATCACCTTGGGAATGCATTTGGCAATGTCAATTGAATGGGAGGCATTATTGCCCTTTTAATTGCCTCTCAGGCTCAATGGTTTCAACCCCATTGGCAATGGGTTCCAAGTCCATTTCAAAATGCCCCCTGCCAATGTTAAGGGGCAAGGCATTGAGTAAAGACCAAGATGATGTTTCCACAATGGTCTTGCCATAACGTCATGAGAATGCCCTCTCATTGCATTTTGCAATGTCAAAATTATATGGTGGGCACTGCGCATTTTTTTTTATATGAAATCTGAGGACAAGAATTCAAAGGGATTTTGCTGGGAACTGATTTGTTAAATCAAATGAAGGCTGAGATTTTATACAATCATTGCTGTTTTTCCCTGAAAAACTCAAAAATTAAGTGTTTTCATCAAAATGGCTAAGTGTCAAAAAATAAGAATGACTCAAACCAATACAAGCTCAGTTCCTGAAGTTGTGTTCCTATTGTACAATCATTCTGCAACAGTCACCCCTAAGAAATCCCACCAGCTGCTATTTACAAAACCCTCCAAAAATGTAGATCATGTTATCTGAAAACTATGGCTTTAGGGATTTGGAAGCTTTTCCTTCTGCCTCCAACCTATAAGAGGATAACCTTATTATTTCCAGATAAATATTTACCTAACAGCTCCAATTTGTTTGAGCTTAAGTCTGTCCCAGATTTTATGAAGTTCACACTTC